AAATGTAGACTTTTACAATTAGTTTGGTTCTTTAGCTCTTGCAGCAAGGGGCACCATGACAAGCAAGTGTGGGGTGTGGAACAGAGCTTCATTTGCTGGCTACCGAGACTGAACACTTTTCCCCTGTGACTGCGGAGAGCCTTTCTTTTTGGAGGGAGAAGTCAATTCTGGGTGAGTTTTATGTCAGCAAGACATAGAGGCCATAAACCATTAATGATTTCTGATAGGCAGGCAAAATGGTTAACTGAATGTGTCTAGATTTCATACCATCAAATTGGACAGGAAAAGCCTGTCTCTCTTCCAGCTGGTTTTGTTCCCAAGCGTTCTGCAGACTTGGGAGACAATACTGTATTGTTTACTCCGTGTTAATTTCCAGCAGCTTATTATGAAATAGGAGTTAGAAATAAACCCTTTGAAAAATGCATGTTTGATTCTGGGACAGAAACCTGCAACAAAGTTTGAATTCCACAACAGATGCTGGTATCATCAATACCACAGAATAAGCAGGGACTGGAGCCACAGTGATGAGAGGGAGTGGTTGCTTCCCATGAATGCCTGTATTTCATTCCTTGGCTGTAATTAATCCCAATAATTTTCTGAAATCTGAGGTTTTGTAATGGCTTCATAAAAATTCCTACAGAGTCCCAGCACGGAGCGCCTTTTCTTATGAATTTAACCTCTGTCTTTTCTCTGTGTGTTTCATGTGAGCAGGAAGCTCCAATGCTTGCCAGTTTTCATCTCTCTAGTGATTTTGCAAAGTGTAATCATTGTAAAGTGCAATTGCTTAACATGTAGCTCATTCACTAAAACCCCAAGGATAAAGGCAGTGAGTAATGTGAGTCATTACCAGAGCAATGGTATCTAAAAAGATGAAGATTCATGCATCAAGTACCAATCCATTTAGTCTTGAATTAAGAATTTTAAAAATCATTATTCAGATGTGATAGATACTATCTCCAGGCAAATTAGTTACCCTGGAATGCTGTGCTGCTTATTTTTTTCTCTTTTGGTATTAGAAGTACTGATGGTGATTACACATCCCTACTGCTCTGTTTGTCCATCCGAGATCAGCAGCTTTCCCAGGTGCCTTCTGCACCTTTCTTTGTTCTGCATCTCTCTTTCCTTTCCCAGCACTACATACCTTCATGCCTGAAATTCAGACACTCTGTCCAGAAAACATGACCAGCAATGTTTATGTTCAAACTGGTGGGTTTTGGTCACACTTATTTTTATTTAGCCACCTAGGTTTCAACCATTTTTTTGCTTTTCCTTGTACTAAATCCTAAGAGCTGGAATAGCTTTCTTCTCCATCTCATTCCAGCAAGGAACTTTTTGTTCCAAGGACACAGAATTTGACTGCACAGACAATGTACTATAAATGACTGAAGCGTTAACACTTCTATCATCATTCTGAGAAGGTACTTTGCAGTTTAATAAGTGATATGAACTATAATCTCATTTTCTACATGCTTTGAGATGTAAGAGAGCCTAGAACAGCTCAGTGCTATAGCATGATGTTGCATGTTCTGGGGAGGGACTCTTCGTTTGGGACTGTAGTGGTAGGACAAGGGGTAACGGGTTCAAACTTAAACAGGGGAAGTTTAGATTAGATATAAGGAAGAAGTTCTTCACAGTGAGGGTGGTGAGGCATTGGAATGAGTTGCCCAAGGAAGTTGTGAATGCTCCATCCCTGGCGGTGTTCAAGGCCAGGTTGGACAGAGCCTTGGATGACATGGTTTAGTGTGTGGTGTCCCTGCTCATGGCAGGGGGGTTGGAACTAGATGATCTTTCCAACCCTCACTATCTATGGTTCTATGTTGCAGTCTGAAAGGGGTACCAAGGTTTAGCACAGCTGATAAATCAGAAGTTCAAGGTTTCCTGTGGGAACAAAAACGACAGGCTTCCTGAATTACAACAGAAACAACCCAAACGACAAAACAAGGCATGTGTTGGATGTTTGTGTAGCCCTCTTGAAGTCAACAGGACTTGGGCAGCATAACACTAGTTGGGGATCTGTTATTGGAGATATTATAATGATGTTATTAGGAATGTGAAATCATACACAATAAATGAATACACCAGTCTATGACACTGCTTGAAGATCTCATTTATAAGGCCTTGTACTTTAATTTGTGCATTAAAACCAGACCACAGCCTTTTACTGTGACTTGATTGGTCTTAAAATAGGGATTATATTCCGCAAGATGTGCTCCTGTGTGTTCCCTAGCTAAAAACATGCCAGGAAATGCAACAGTGGACCACAGATAATCTCTGGATTATACTTCTTGTTAATCAGGTATGTATGATCCATTTTGCATACTAATTTTTCTCTTTCTATCAATTTCTCAAGTCTTTTGGGTGCTACATTTTTATTCCACACTTTCTGTAACTATTCGAACCCCTGAAACACTGCCAGTACCATCCGGGTGTTTGTCCTTCTTTTGCATGGTGTCTTGCTTTGCGTTGTCCTTGTGATTGCACACCATGCCTAGGATCAGTACCACACGTAACTTGTACCTTGGGGAGTCTCTTACCTTTAATTTTTGTGCTGAATTGCATACGAACAAATGAGATGTTTACATTGGTAGCCTCTGAGCTTTTGAGATACTGCCACTTTGTTTAGGGATCCTGAACATACTGGGATCCCAGAGTGTCCCATAAATACGTTTTATTTATGTTCGTAACATTCATTACAGGATTATATTTTTCTAAATGACTCAATCCACTGCCTATGAAATGAAATGACTTGAAAAGACGAAGCTATTGATCAAACCTGGCAATATCAGATGTGTGATGCAGTTAAGTCAAAAAACAGTTGTATTAGATCAGAGGTTTACAGGTCACTGGTCTAGAAAAGTATGCATTTCATAGCAGAAATGATCTGTAAGGCACTGCATTTGTATACCTGATTTCGTTGAGACTTGGGTGTTACCCTTGAACACAGGTATATAAAATCCTGGGAGGCATTACATTATATGGAAAACTATGGGGGTTTTTATCTTTTTTCCACAGTTCAGTAGAGCTGGGAATCCTCAGCAGAAGCCACAAGAAGCAAAACTTGAGGTTTAAATCCACTGCATTCCTTGAAGGTAGCTACACACAAGCAGACTACTTTCAGAGCGTGAACAATAAGCTGTGCTTTTAAAAGCAGGCTTTAGGAAGCCTCCCAGATTTGTTCATTTGAAGCTAGTTTGTGGGTGTTGTGCTGGGCTGTACTATAGGACATCTAGAGCTTGCATCACATGCTTGCAACACTTCAGACTGAAACAGATACACTTCCATGACTGGCTGCATCCATGCACTAATAGCCTTAGCCAAGGAACTGTGAAAGCTACGAAACCCATCTCCTCAAAGATGAAAACCAGTGCCATATCCAGCAGGTGCTGCTGTGTTCCCAACCAGGAGAATGATCTCCTAAGACTGGAGAACTGCAGGAAGAGGTCTGCAGAAGGTGGGGACTAGTGCAATATGTGGAGATTTTCTCACAGTATCCATCATGTTGCTTTCAGGCCAGTGCACATTTTTCCACCATTAAAACTAGTAAATTGGGAAAAAAATGTATGTAGCTGGAAGATTTGTTGTACATCAGTGATTGCAGAACTCACTGTTCTTTCACTCAACACCAACAAGAAGAGGTAGGCACTTTGCTCAGGACAACTCTGTGCCATTTCAGAGTGATGGGCGTTGCACTCCAGAAAACTTTTTGTGTTAAATGATCCTAATGATAGGGAAGGATGTCTTCTCCTCAGTGTCCAACTTGTACCCATTTCTGTTGATGGTGGACAACTGCCCATCACTCTGAAATGGCAGAGTTGTCCTGAGCAAAGTGTCTGGTTGTGCCAGAACCAATTTGAGAAGTCTTAAACTGGTTTACTGATCTGTATCTTTTCTAACTGGAAAAGTTATGCACTGATAAGCTGAAGGGAGGCTTTAATGGTATTTAAGAGATCTCCAATAGAGCTTGCTTTTATTAAAGCGTAACTATGTTTAATTTCAGTCTGTGTCTAGCAGGTTTGCTAATCCTTTGTATGTCTATATGGGTTTAACACTGGTTTATTGTTTTAATAATAGACAGAAATCAAACTGGTGCAACTGCCCCAAACCAGACAGTTTGACTGCAGAGACCCAAATCCTCCTGCACAAATATTTCTTGTTAGAATCATGTTTCTAACAATTTGGGTTGAGTATTTCCTTGCCAACATAAGCTTTATCAATATAAACCAGTGAGAATCTTCCCATCAGTAAGATTGTTTATTATCATCTTGCATGAATAGGAATCCTTTTGTGTACGACCTGGATATGCTGGTTTAAACCTGCTTGCCATAGTTCAGCTTGGCACAAGCTGAATAAATACAACCAGTGTTCAATTCCTACAAAACTTCACATATGAACTGCATTGGAAAAACTAATTTTAATTTCAAAACAGCCCAAACAATCCTTAAGTTTCCAGAACAGAGCTTTCACTGGTACCAGTTAATAGACTTTAAAAGAGTGCAGGTTAGTTAGTGAGAAGGACTCGGTATAATCAATGAGTTACATTCACTTACTGATGTAGTAACCTGGTCTGTAGCTTAGTAACAGATCTCATAAAACCGATCCTCCAGGAAATAGCTTTATTTGCCCACTTTCTGTTTCAAAGCCGAAGGTTATGTACTGGGTTGTCTTAAGGTAACATGCTATAAACTGGTAACTGGTCCTTCAGTTTCTCATTACTGTCGGGACACTCATAGCCAGCATGAAAGGTCTTGGGGAAAAGGTTTTCTGTGCACTGTGGGACGTACGTGGTGGCTTGCAGGGATATGCCTGCTCCACACCTTGGTCAGCAGCTCTGACCTACCAGGGATGATGAAGCCCCAGTCAGTGCCCTGCTTAGATGTGGCTTTATTTGGCTGCAGGCACACTCCCTTTCTTTTTTGTTTCTTAGGAAGTGATTGAAATGCTTTGTCAGTCTGTCTGCACCTCACCGCTCCCAGTGCTGCTGCTTGCTGGCTTGCCTGGCTTCAGGCCACCAAATATTTGGGTTCGTCAGGCTGGAGTTTCATGGCCTTGTCCACACAGAGCAGGATGAGAGTCAGAAACCAGAGGCTCCAGCCAACAGCCGCTGCAATCCATCCATAATCGTCCATGCCCGTCGTGCAGCACATGGCTGCTTGTGTGCAGATGTTCACGTCTGGTGGAAAAGAAATGAAGTGAGCTGATGGAAGGCTAAGGACGTACCAAGTTTGTTTCGCTGGAAGGCAGGTGAGATGGTGACTTCACTGTTTGTCCTGTCATTCTGCCTTGGCATCTTTCCCCTAAGCCTGGCTCTTAACCTGGGGGATGGCAATACGCAGTTTTATCTCTACGTCTTCAAGGCTCGGTCAGCCCTGCTGGCCAAACACCTGAGCTGCTCCTCTTTACCACTCAGTCCACCATTATAGAAATCTTTTAAAACACCTATTTAGCATCTACTCAGTCACTACTAGGAATGGAGTATGATAGAAGTAGCAATTTAAAATTAAAAATACACCTGGGATGGAGAAACCTTCATGTGAGGTTCATAAGAGCATCTCCAATAGTTTAGGTACCCAGCTTTGTGTCTGCATCCTGGCTGGTAACATGGAAATACCAAGGGAAGCCTAGAAGACCATGGTACTCCTTGGGCTGGAAGAGAAGGCGAGTGTGAAACCCCAGGCAGCCAAAACCACCTTGCATCTATGTGCATTGTGTATTGACATGCACAAAGCTTGTCAGCTGTGAAAACCAAATGCCTCCTGATCGTGATGCATTTCCAAGGAAAATACAGTATTTCCAAGGAAATACAATATTCCAAGGAAATACAAAACACAGTATTTCCAAGGAAAAGCCAGGTGAAGCTGCTGCTCAGGTGCTCTAGTTCATGTACGTCAGACACAACTATGTTCCTGTGTATTGGCTTTCAGCACACACAGTACAGTTGTCCTGCACTGTAGAGAGTAGCTCTTCCCACAACAAGAGATATGGTCTGTGCGTGCCCAGAGAAGGGAGAGAGGTGCCTGCCCCCTATGCCATGCTTTGAAGTAGCATACCTCTATGTGTATGCATACTAGAATTTGGGAAGTGCAGGACTGTAGGGATATTTGACACTGGGGCTGGAGGATGACTCAGGGAGTACTGGTGGGCTGTGTGGTTGTCTGGGACTGGCTGTTTGGGGAAGACCCAGTAGGGTGGGGGGAAGAGGCACTCTTGGGAATCTGCGTTGTGCCTACAGGCAGGCAGTCTGGCAGGGAGCTTTAGGACACTCGAATTAGCTATGAAATAGTCTGTTCAAAGGTATGAGTCCACCTGAAGGTACCTAACATATTACGGGCATCCCAACGGAGGAGTCCGAGAAATGCGTCCTAGAGTTTCACCCACAATGGTAGCCTTGACAAAAGATAAATCCTTTTCCAGGACAGCCTCTCAGTCACCTGCGTAGTCTCATCACCTGACTTTATCATTGTAGTAATGATTTATAAAGACTTACTAAGACATGGTGCTTCGTACTCAGTTGTGAGCGTGGAGCTTGTTGAAACATTGGAGACCTCTTGTGCTGCTGCCAGAAGGAAAGCACAAAAGAAAAGGCAAGTTGGATTAAAAAAGGCATATGGGGCATCAAGCACAAAAATCTAGAAGACATTGGCCTTGCAGGGGTCTGTAGGATGGCAACAACCTGAAGAAAGCAAGTTTCTTCTCCTAAACATTGCTGCAGCAGGGTATGCTTTCTCATTCTACCACTGTGAACATAGTTCTCTGCAGAGACCTGCTCTAGCACCAGCCATAATAAGCACCTGAATCATTGTGCCTCTACCTGAGTATGACCCTGGTGTGAGCCATTCAATCAGAGCTCAAATTAATCCTTTCCTAAGCTACAGGAGCAGAACAAGCAAGGACTGGAACGAGAGAGGGCATTCAGTGGCATGGGGAGATCCATGGCCAGCGAGCTCTACATCTACCTCCTTCTGCCCTTAGAAAATTCCCAGTAACTCCAGGGTGCGCAGGATGTGGCAGAGCTGAGGGCTGAGCCCGTCTGTGGAGAGCGCCAGCAGATCCACCACAGCCTCGGTGAGGAGCTTTGGCTTTGCCACAGTTCAGGAACAGCTGTGCCTGAAACTGTTCTGGCTGGGCTCCAGCTCAGGCCAGCATGAAAACTAGCTCAGGCTGGAAAACACAACATACAGGAACAGTAACGGAGGGAGAGGGACAGGGGTTTCAGGGAAGGTTTTGCCTCTTTGTCCTGTTTCCTACCAAGAATTGGAGCACACGCAACTCTGGCACAGCTCTATGGCTTCTCTCCAGCCCTCCAAAGCCGTACATGCTATCACAGGCCAAAGCCTCCTGCGATTTTTTAACACCCTCTTGCCCCTCAGCTTCAGCACTGCAGGATCAGATGCAAGGACAGCCACAGGATGTGTGCATGGGAAAAGCACAGGCTGCTGTGGTCCCTGTGCATTAACACCAGCCTGTCCCCTGCTGCAGAAGGAAGGGAGTCGAAGAAATATCTCCTCCTGTGCCACTATGTACAGTTTGAGTTCAGCCAGGTGAAATATCCCATGCTGAAATACATATCCTCTGCAGAAATACATGAGAAACAGCCTTGAGAAGCTACAGGAGTAAGGGCTCCTGCTGCACACAGATGGAGGGGCTCCAACATGCCGCTTGTCCGCAGACCAGGCAAAAGCTTTGAGAGAATTGTTGCCAGCCAAACCATCCCTCTGAGCTGATAATTTGGAGTGTGACGATCAATTCCAGCTTGATTTCACTGAAGACTTAAAAGTAACGGCCCGGGTTTAGTTTCAGCTCAGGAGAACAAAACATTGCAAGACCTCTGACCAAACTTTAAGTTTGGTATTTTCCACGTAACAGCAAATAACCTGAAGTTGACCTGCAGGTGATGCCTCTCTTAGGGTCACCTGCTGTGCCCAGCTTTGCACGTTGAGCTGACAAGCAGCAAGACCAGAGCTGCCACACTGGGAGCCTGTCCCTGGGCAGCCTGCTCCAGGTAAGGGTCTGAGTACTCCCCATTCCTCCTTCTGACTCTGCTGGGACTTGCTGAACGACCTTGGCCAAGCCCACAGCTTGTTTTCTCGGTTAATAAGTACCTCATGGGGGCACCAGAAAGAATCATTAAGAACTGTGTGTGACCTGTGGAAGAAAGCCCTACAGAATGCCAACCACTGGATCACGTCTATAGACTTCGCAGCCTGAAGGACAGGCTGTCAAAGCTAACCCATCTTTAAATACCTGGCAGGTCTCAGCTGGTGCTGATACAGGAATGCAGGTAGTAGCCTGGTGGGAAAGGAGCAGCTCACAAGTCTCAATTGTGTTTTATTTTTAGGCAACTTCTACAATTAAGGAGGCACCAAAGCTGTATTTCCCACAAAAAAGCACCTAATAAGAGCTAAACCAGACTACAGTGAGCCTCTCGGGTGGTATTCCATATGGTCCCTTGCCTCAGCCAGGAGAAGGCCAGGTAACTGTGGTTTCCTATCTCCTTGCCATTCGGTGGAGCAACCTGCGGCTCAGTCACATCTACAGTGGCTCTGTAAATAGCTGGTAAAAGCACATCTCTTCAGAAAGATGCTGTGATCAGTCATGTCACTGCTAATTCTCATTAGCATTAGTCATTTCCAGCTCTTGACACCTTTTAGATGAGACAAGGGAGCCCACCTTGTTTTTAAGGAACAGATTACTGCCAGTAGGCAATGTATTTAGGTGTGGAGTGGGGGAAAAGGCAGGGTATAGAAACTGGAGTATAGAAGAAGAGACATACCTGCTGAGCAGGAACACCAGAGCACGGTGGTGCAGAGGAGCACAGTGGCGGCTGCCAAGGGCTCGCAGGAGAGGTGCTTCATGCCGGGGACAGGTCAGGCTGCTGTCGCTGGCAGCTCTGGTTCGGCAGGTCCTCAGCAGCTCAGGGAGCCGGTGTGCAGGGCAGAGGGTGGAGCAAAGGAGCTTCCTGCTGCCAGGACACCTTGAACTTTCCTGCCACAGCCGGGTGAGGGGAGAGAAGGGCTCTGACCAAAACAGCTCCCGCAGGAGCTGGATGCCGACACTGAGGCAGGTGGAGGGCCCCTGAAGGTCAAGCCAGAAGGTTTCTCCCCAGGATCTGCTGCAGCTGGAGGGAGGAAAGGCCTCTGGAGCGAGCCCTTCCCAAAGAGGCCTCAGGCAGGTTGCTGGTGCTCTTCAGCAGCGGTCACTCACAGTGACACTTCGGGTGCTCGTGTGAGAACAAAGCTGTCGGGGGCCTGTTCTGGGTGTGCAGCCATCCCACGGGAGGCAAGGGGGAAGGTGTCTGGGGTGGCAGTCCTGCTAGGACGGGCAGTATTTAATAATTCTCTTTGTTTTTTTCCCCTCCACGCTGCTGAAACCCGTAGGGGAGGGACGTAACAGACTTGCCACATGAATGGCACGGTTCATGGCCGCTGCAACAGCTGCAAGACAGTCAGGTTTGTTTGGTCTCCTTGAGAGCAAAACCCATGTAGCCTTAGCCCTGGCTGATGTCTCTGTAGGGTGACCCCACTTGTCCTCCCTGCCAGCCACCCCTTGCCACCAAAAACACCCTGCTCCTTTCCAGTTGCCACTGTTTCCATGCTGCAGCAGGACACAGGCAGCCAGAGGTTTGCCCTAGAGGAAGCACACCGAGATGAAGGCAGGCCCGCTGGAAGAGGCATGTTAGCCCACCTTGTCTCCTTGTTTTCATGTCAATACGCTGCTGGGGCTGGCAGAGTTAGGGCTGTGGTGGCTGGTCCATGACAGCCACCTCCGGCTGTTGCAGGTATGCACGTCCCTGTCCTTCGGCTGGCACCCAAGCAAGGGGTGGCCCAAGGTGTGTCGTGCTCAGCTGGCAGCCAGGCTGGGTGCATGACCCCAGTGGCCATCACTCTTGGCCTCAATAGGCACAAGTCACAGCAGGGGAGATGGTGTAAGAACACTCCAGCTGCTCAGAGTTGCTTGAATAACCTATATGGACAATAATCTTCATCTCTGCCTCGTTTCAGCATCTAAGTCCTTTCGTGCTGGTTGTCTTTAATTCGGGTTTTTATCTGGGCACTCTGTTCTGTCAAAGCTAAAACTCAACTCTTTGCTGGGGAAGGGCCTTTCTTCCAGCTTCACCTTTTCCTCCTGAATTTCTCACCCATGATAGCAGTTAATTTTGCAAAAATAACGAGTACAGAAGTGTTCTGTGCAGCACAAAATGTTTGAGGGGAAATGAAAAGACAAAACTGCTCTGCTAGTGCATGAATGATTCAGTTTTTAATGAAATCTCTTTTGAATTCTGACTATTACCTAAATGCTCTTTGTCACCTTGCAGGTAAATGTGCCAATTTCTAAGGGATGCTAAAAATGTTTTGCACAATTAACATAGCGTATTTCTTTTCCTTTCCAAAATGTGTTCCCTCCATGGCTCAGAAAGGGCCTGCTCCAAAGCCTCCTGGAGCAGTGAACAGGCTGTGTTTGGCTTCGGTGGTTTTTGGATCAGATTGGAAATGAAGGCTTTGCTTGATAAGTTCAGGCACAACAGGAGCCCTATAAAATCATCTCCTGACACAGATTTGGTTTTGTTTCATTTCTTCTTTGTAAGGCATTCATATTTCAGTGCTATGACTGCCTGAAGAGTGGTAAGAGTCTCCAAAGCCTTCCCTAGGCTTGGTTTTTATGCATCACATGAATGCCTGTCTCCACAGAGGTGGCCCGGCACATGAGGCATGAAGGCTGCACCAGTAGAGATGGGGGCTTCCTCTCCTTGGGGTCCCCTTTCCAGGCATTTTTCAAGGCAAGACTTCATTTACTCTCAAATTAGATACTTCCCCACTTCTCCCCTTGGAGACTCTTCCACAGTGTGTGGGTCAGCTTTTCCTGTTGATTATGAAGGAGGCAGTACCTACTGTTTGGAATATTTTGTGCCACAGAGGAATTTTCTGTGCCAGTTAAGGTTCCCTGGTGACCAAGGTGTACCCTTGACACATCACCACCAGGTGTGGCTCTCAGAAAGTTATTACCTTTGTCACACACTCACTTTGTCTACGTATGTTTTTTTCTGTTTACACAGGCAACATGCTTACATTTTTAATTCCAAATGAAAGCTGATTGCTGCTGCAATCCTGTTCCATCCCAGCAGTGACCAGCATGATGTCAAGTGAGCTGTAGCACAGTATTTAACTTGGGGCAAAACACACAAGTCACAAGAGCACAGCAGAGCAGGTACATCATCTCTGGCGTATCAGTGATAAGAGGATAAATCTCTCTTCCATAGAACACTTGAGGTTGGGTTATCTGCACCCCCACTCTCGTTTTACTGTACCTGAGGTGCTACTCTGCTTAGCTGCTCTGATAGGAGGGAGCTTTGGTGAAACAGAGCTCAAAACTTAATGTCTCATGTAGCCACGCAAAACCTTCTGCATGGTGGAGCTAAGCATGGGGTGACTATAACTGAGATACTGATCCCAGAGCCACCTACGGCTGCAGGAACCTTCCCCATGCTGCTGAAAGTGATGATAGCCCAGCTCTGGAGGAGTTGCTTGTTTGGGACCCCCTTAAGCTCTATGTGTTGGCAATTCCAAGGGCTCTTTGCAGCCTGTGAGATCATGGTGCTCCGCACCAAGGAGGATGCTAGGTGGTGTAAGACCACAGGATTGGACTGTCTCCTACACTTGCTTTGTGGATAGCAGAATCTCCAAGTGATGCTCTAGAAGAGGCATGTGTTGAGAGGGCAGGTCTGCCTGTTGTTAGCATCTCACTGTCTTCGTACTGCAGGGTTAGTGCCCTCCCAGGTGGCCTTTATAAAGCTCAAAAAAAGCTTAAGGGCCTTTATAAAGCTCTCAAAATGGCTTTAAAGAGCTCAAAACCTCAAGCCTGATGCCAATAATTTGTCCATCGGGGAGGGCCCATTTTGTTTAGTATCTTCATTGACGTGAAAAATAGCCATCTAAGATAAAGCTACCTATGAACAAGGGATTTGGTTTTTTAAAGTGAGGCAAATGGAGGAAAAAAAATCAAACCCACAAAGGTTTTACTCTAAATGAAAGAAGGGGAGAAAGGATGTGCTTTCTGTTGCACAGAGGCAAGCAGCTGTAGCGTTTTGGAAAACTGCCCTTTCTGTTTTCCAGTCCAGGCTGGGGTTGCTATATAGACAAATGTTGAGGCTGTGGCCTTGCTGTGACTCCACACTGTCCCTCTGGAGACCCCAGTGAGGGAGTGCAGGGCTGCCAGCGCTGACAATGAGCGCACTCACAGGGCTTCTCTGTATGGTGCCTTATCATCAGCTGTCACCATCTGATCTTTAATAATAAGATTATTATAAAATAACACTCTTACTTCCACATGCCAGAGGCATGAAATAGGATATGCTTTCTGCTGTTCTTCTCTACCTGGGAATGGGGCAGAGGGAAGGGTAAGAGAGATGGCTTTGTCCCTGCGCTCCGTGTTAGCTAATGGGATGGAGTGACATGCGTCGTGTGGCTTGATTTGGTGATGAAGTATGTGTTGAGGGCCCCTTCTGCTCCCCCTGTCCTGACAGTTTGTAGGGGAGTAGCTGAGTGTAGCTTTGGGGCTGAGTAAGAGCAGCGTAGGTACAAAACAGGAACATATCCTGGTATCGTCAAATGAGCACAACAGCTTTGCCAGGGGGAAGAATGTGCTGTGGGTTCAGAGGTGGAGGGAGTAGCCCAAGAAGCTGCTTTATTTTGTTGTGTCAATATCGATCAGTTGATAACTGAATGATGACTTGTCTTATTTAGCATTATAGCACAGACTGGAAGGCAATGTCCTTCCTTTCCCACCCCAACTTCTACACAGCCCTGCATGATGGATGTGGGGTTGATGGCAATGACTTCACCTCTGCCTTACCAAGAGAAGTTCTGATTTCTCAGCAGAGAGTGCTGCCTTTCATCAGCCTTTGCTCCCTTTCTTTGGTAGCACTGATGGAGAAAGCAGAACTGATCCCCAGCAGTGGCTGGTACAGCAGGAGCACAGTGCAGCTAAAGCAGGTAGGAGGCCAGGGAGCCAGAGGGCCAGCTCAGCTAGGCTGCTGCTGAGCAAAATGGAAGTTTTAGGCCCACCTATCAAAATTATCTTATAATTTTGAATACGTCCCTTTTGGGTTGTGCTGATTGAGGCAGCTGGATTTCAGAAAGTGGCAGGAGCCCTCTCACACTAGCTGGTCGCACGAAGCAGGGCCATTCTTTGTTGCTTTTGAATCGAAAACCTCTGTGCTGGGAAACTCCCTGCTGTTACTCACCTTTCAGCATTGTTCCATTTGGACAAGCTATACCCTTCAGCTTGTCCACTCAGGTTACTGGGTACCCCTGAAAAAAACGGGTCTGAAAAAGCATTTCTTTAGGGGTTAGTTTATGATTTACATATAGCTGTGCATTTTCATTAGCTCTTCTTTTGAGATAAATCTTACCAGTGCTAGATTTATTAGTGACCCAGCCAGCCTTATTTACCAGGATGAAGCCCTGCCTCCTCTGACCTCTGTGGGAGCTAAGCCGCTGGTTTCAGGAGTGGCTGAATTTCCCTCTGGAGCTCCTGCTTTAGCAGCTGAAGCAGGAGAAAGTCTATAAAGCCACTTTTTCCCACAGCATTTGTTATTTCAAGGGATGAGAATCAGGTTTCCTGTCAGCATTGCCCCAGGCGAGCACAGCTCTGCTGACTGAGCCCCTGCCCTCCTAGCCCTCGCTTTACTGTCCAGCTCTGCCTGTCCCCTGGCTGCAGCAAAATCATTAATCTCCCATTGTTTCCCTGTCCTTTCCCGGTCTGCCTCCAGTGAGAAACAGCTCAGAAGTTTTCCACGTCTCTTCCACGTCTGATCCTCTATCCAGGGCTTGCAAATGAGTTTTTTATGGGTTTATAGCTCTCCGTATACAGGTTTCAAAGGTTCTTGCTCGTTTTCGGGTGGCCGGGGCGGTGTGAGCCGGCATGCCCCATCTGTTATTAGTCTCAACAAGCCGTGTGCTGCTGCAGCGCAGCTCACACTTGTTGCAGCCCTGATACAAGGGTTGTGGCTGAGCCAGAAAGTGCTGGGTCCGGACCACCCGAGGGGTGTTTCAGCACGGAAAAGGTTTCCCTCCTCTGGTCCAGACCAGTTCTGGCCTTAAAGGAAGGGTTTGCTGTGCCCTGTGCGAGGCAGGACAGTTGGCCAGGGTGCTTCGCTCACCACCTTCCTCGCCCGGCGCGGTGACTGCAGCCATGCCAAAGCACCGTCCTGCTGTCGCCGCCTGACGGGACCTCCGGCTAGCTGAGGGGGAGCTCGCCCCTTCCCCAGGGAGAGGGCCTGCCGGCAAGGAGCGCGGTGGCAGAGGTAAACCTGAGTACCGCCTTCTCCAAAGCGACTTGCAGCACCGGGGTTTACCCTGCCTGGAACCCGGTGTGCTTAATGCACTTCACTGCAGCGCACTCCTGCTGGCAAACAGCAGCTGGGGAAATTAACTGTTCCTCTGCCACAGTGAAAAACTGGAGGGAGGGAAGGAGAGAAGGAGGATGTTGATGGAGGCATTGCTGGCAGCAGGTGCCTTTGGGAAGCCTCCCGTCTCTGCAGGAATAGATGGAGGGTGAATGCTCTGCCTTCCCAGCAGGGCCGGGAAGGGTTTCCTGGCTGGAAAGAGGTTTCTCTTTATTTTTCATTTTGCTCTCATTCCAAATCAGGACGAAAGTGAGCCTTTGGGGGGTTTTGCTGACTGATTACCGAGGAAAAGCAGAGCCCTGGGTTTGGATGGTTTGAAGCAGTTTAACTGAGCTATTTCCAAATATTTCAGTTGTGTGTTGTTCTTTTAATTCTAAGGTTTAAATGCTTTTTTAATGGAAATTAACTGCAGGTTTAGAAGCACAAACCTGTTTTAAATTATAGTCTCTTCACAGTTAACCAGTCTAAAGAAGTTAAGATGGAATATTCTGATGGAATATTCTGATCTTTTAAACTAAGAGGTAAGGAATATTTTTACTTTCTGGATGAGTACTGAGGCTCTCTTGCAGCTTTTGTGTCTTTTTCCTGTGAAAAATATAGCTTGCTAAAACATACCCAACCAACTTTAAAGATTATAGCCTTACTCAACCCACTGGAGCTGGCACATTGTACATTTTCTTTTAGCAAGCTGCTTGTTCTCATATATTTTAAACATCTTAAATCGTTTAGTGAATGGCTACAGAGAGTAAGAAAAGGAAAACTCACAGGATAATAGACCAAATACAGGCTCGTTACTATGGTGCTCCTGTTAAACAAGCCTTTAATATCTTGCAAAGTGTTTCTCTCATATTTAAGATAAATCTTTCACATGGTATAAAGAAAATTATTAGAATCCACGTTTTAAAGAGTGTCGCAAGACAAGGTTCATGGAAAAAGAGAGACAATAGACTTCCCATCCCTGACAACAAGTAGGAGTGAGGTTATAAAGGGATTTTGTTTTGCTATTTATAGAATGTAGGCTTGCTGCAAAATTGTATGCATGCAAGAAGTGTATCTACTTGCATGTTTTTCTCTGGGAAAGAGGAATTATATGTGCATGCCAATCAGTTAATTCTGTGCAAGGACAACTAGTGGCAATTCGTATGTTCAGGTTATTAAAAGTCGATAATAAGAAGCATATAGACAAAGGGATCTTTTGTGAAATGCATGTGACATTTTGAAAACAGTCCTTTATGGGGAGAAATGCTTTTTAAATCTGAAAATTTGTTTTAATTTAAATGAAATAGTCTCCTCTTCTCCCCTGTCCCCATATAACATGTTCCAGACGTGTTTGCAATGCTGTGTTCACACTCCCAATGAAAGCGATAAAAACCAGTTAGGCTTCTTTCACCCATCTAATTGCAAGGTGAAAATAATGATTTTTCTTCTCTGTGTTATGGAAGACAAATAGAAACTGAGTTCTTCATTAGGTCATTGTGCCAAAACCCAAATAAAGGGCCAGAGTGCAGTGGCCAGAAGCATGTGGCAGAAGACAGGGCAGGGTATTTGCTCATCATCTGTCCTAGGGACCAGTGGCTCCCCCCTTTAAATACATACTTGAGCATTCATCACCGCTGGTGAGATGAAGCCTCATGTTCAAGGAGGCTTTTAGGAGGTAAAGAAACTCTTTTGAAGGACATGATGGGCAGCATTGGGTTAGCTTCTGGTATCGTAACTCAGTGATCGCAATGTTCTTGCAGTGTTTTTCACCTTCTGGCACCTCCCTAGGTAAGGAAGACTGTACCACTGCCACCAAGGCCCTCACGGACACCCGGGTTGGAGGAGGGCAGCGAAATGGCCTCGATCTTCCGGAGCGAGGAGATGAACCTGATGCAGCTCTTCCTGCAAGTGGAGGCTGCCTACTGCTGCGTGGCCGAGCTCGGCGAGCTGGGTCTAGTCCAGTTCAGAGATGTGAGTAACACCCAGCCAGTGCTGAGCTGTGGGAGATGTGCCCCGGGGTGTGCTTTTCCTTCCCTCAAAGCAGCTGGGGAAGATGCACCTGCAGGGTGGTTAAAAAGCCCATGGCAGTAGTGGGACTTCCCAAAAGCTGATTTGAAAGCAAATCACCATGCTGAGACCTGACCCATCGCCGAGTCCCCATCCAGTGCTTTGCACCCTCTGAACAACCTTAGGACAATTCCTTCCACTACCAGAAAGCAGGGGATCTTTCCGTAAGAGTCCATCTCTGACACCTGCTGTCACAGCAAGGCTGGGTGGAAATGAGCCTAGTGTAAGGCCACAATGTCCTTGGCCATAAGGGAAACCCAAGGTATTGCCCTGTCACTGGGTGTCTGTAAGATGCAGCAATGTTAGCCAGCTGCACCAAAGGCGTTCATTCTTTTCTGATGTTAAAAATGAGCACAGCAGTGTGCAGCCTCCAGGCTTGTTTTCCCTCCTGTTTTTAGCTGAATGTGAATGTCAACAGCTTCCAGAGAAAGTTTGTGAATGAAGTGAGAAGGTGTGAATCCTTGGAGAGGATCATACGTAAGTAAATGCTTGTCAAATGCAGTCGGCTTTCTGCCAACTGGTGGTGTGGGATTTCTTTCTTTGTTAAGTGCTCTCACACTCTGGAGCAGAATTAGTGGCAAGATGGTGATGTTTTCATCTGAGCCCCTGCAAATGTTTTGCATGCGTCAGCTAATTACCACTTCACCCCATATGGGCAATAAATTGCTGCCCCTGTTTTGAAGGTGGTTAACTGAACTGAAAGGAGGTTAATTAGCTTATATAAAATCACAGGATAAATCTGGGGCTGGGCAGGAGGCTAATCCAGATAACCTGACTGTTACACCAGTGCACACATGCCTCCTGTGGCCATGGGCTTCAGCCTGGGGACAAACCCTTAAAGCCCAAGCAGCAATGCTTGTGGTGTCTGCTCTCCCATGGACGTGTGTTCGGTGAGTTCTGCACTTCCCCACCAGTGCTATAGCCACTCTGGTAGCACTTGCCATTGGTAGAGCAGAGGAATGAAACCTGACCTTGCTGTGTGCTGTATTCACTGGCCCAAGAAAAGGGTTTTCCATGCTGGCTATAGGTTCAAGGGCTGAGGGTTCCAGCTACCATGACTTCAGGAGAAACAGAGTCCTCAATGAGGAAGGATGCTGCCAGGTGTCCGGTTTTTGATGATTGTGCATATGCACTTGGATGATGGCCCTTGTATATCGCTTCCTCTTGTCACACCTCCATATGATGCCTCAGTCCTGACAGGGGCCTTGGCAGCAGCTGGTGACCAGGATGGTGCAGCAGGGACAACTCTGTATAGACACTTCTGTGTCCTTTCCTTGCAGGTTTTCTGGAAAATCATATGGGAGACAGTGTTGAAATGGTCAAACTAGAAAAGTACCCAGAGACCCCTCTGCCTCGGGAAATGATTGATATGGAGGTACAGAATTTGGAGCGGACTAAGGAGAGAGAGAAGGGGATGTGCACCAGGATGTCTGTGTGATGTGCTTGATACAGCCCCCCCTGCAAGAAAGCATCTGGTAGCTGAGGCTGGCACAGCTCTCCCTGCCTGTGGAAGTGTTCTCCAAGTTGCTGTCTCAGCAGTTAGGTTAAGCCTGGTCTCACTGTAGGTTCCTAATGGAGCCCAGTCTTTTTACCATTCTCTGTGAAACATCCTTGTCCCACATATTAATGGAAAGGTATCACTATCACAGAATGCCCCCATCACCCTATAGGAGAGAATAAGAAGGTTTTTGGTGATGAATCATAGAATACCAGGGTGGAAGGGATCTCAAGGATCCAACCTTTCTTGGCAAAACATGACCTAGACTAGATGTTCCAGCACCCTGTACAGCCTAATCTTTAAAATGTCCAATGTTGGGGAATCCACTGCTTCCCTGGAGAGATTATTCCAGTGTCTGATTGTGAAAAGTCTTCCTCTAGTGTCCAACTGGAATCCCCTCCGTAGTAACTTGTACCCATTACCCTCCTCTTTCCCATGTGACTCCTTGTAAAAAGGGAGTCTCCAGCTCCTTTGTAGCCACCCTTTAAATACTGGAACACAGTGAGCTGATGTTAGAACCAGCTTCATTGCATAAGAACCTCAGGGCTGTCTGCCCTAATAGGAGTACGGTTGTGATATTGAGGCCTGACACAAGTATTTGTGCTTTGTTTTTGTTTGTGCAAGGGATGTTTTATTCTAGCTCAGCTGGAAGCTAAGATTACTGGCAGGGGAATTTTTACATGCTGCACATGTTCATGACTAGAAAGAAATACCATGCTTTCCAAGGGCTTCAGCTTCATGGGCAAGGTGGTTGTCTGGTGTGTTTCTAGACCCACCTGAAACATTCATTCTCACCTAATTTTTGGCTGATAGCTATGGACCTAAGCTAACGGCTGTGTGTAGGCTGCTTTTGTAGTCAGCCTGTTTTCAGGTGTGACAGCCAGTCCACCTGGGGTCTGAGATGTCCTGTGGGAACCACAGAGGTGCCAAGACAGGCTGATACCCCTACACCATGCACCCACTTACCTGTCTGTGCTTTGGTCAGGTGAGTCAGAACTCTAATGCCAGAAAAGGACAAAGCACCCAGCAGGGAATGTGACAATGGGAAAATGAAGCATTGGCATTGATGAATATCTTCCTACAAACTCAGTGTTTATTAAAGTGCTCATTGAATTTGTGTATTCCCTCCTGAAAAAAAACCCAACCATCTGTTTGAGAGGTGGTTGTTAGCTGAAGCATTGGTCTGCTTCAGAGTTTTTATGGATGTGCTTGGACCCTAAACAGACGGTGCTGAAGAAACTTGAAGCCGAGCTCCTGGAAGCCAACCAGAACCAGCAAACACTGAAGCAGAACTTCTTCGAGCTGATGGAGCTGAAACATCTGCTGAAAAAAACTCAGGACTTTTTTGAGGTGAGAGGCCTCTTTGCTCTTCCAACGTGGAAGGTTCCTAAAAGTACTGGTATTTTCATTTGGTATGTGTTGCTGTTACTGATTTTTCATCAAAACCCATCGGTCTTTACCACAAGCCAGTAAGATATGTTTGCAAAAGCACCTCAGTCACTTTGGAGCCTGCATTGCTCCGTGAGTCAATGGGGCTTAAGAAATCAGTTCCCAGTTCTCTTTGAAAAAGGCATTTATGCTTTTTGGTTGCTAAGATACAATTTACCTATTTTTTTCCCTTTGGTCTAAATCTCTGTGGAAAGCTAACTTTGGGGAGAAAATGTCAGGAGAAAAACGTGAAAATAGTTTTCAAGCTGGAAGTGCTGAATGTTTTTTTTCTAACTAATGTTTTCCAGGCAGAAACCAATCTGCCAGATGATTTCTTCAGTGAAGACACATCTGGACTGCTGGAGCTGAAAAGCACTCCTGCTACAGGTGCCAAGCTGGGGTGTGTATTGATGATGGCCCCAGCTTGGCCAGGCTTCCCACCTGCACTTCATTGCTCTGACACTGGTACACTTAGGCTTCTTAGCAGAAGTTGCTCACCAGCCTCTTCAGCATAGATATTTTATGAAGATGAAAGAGTGACTGTCCTCCAAAGTTATTAAAACTATGGTCAAGTTATGGACCAGTGGGACAAATGGGCTTTTACTTCCAGACCACCAATTCCAGTGACCCCTTAGTAGGTATTGACTGAAAATTGACATCTCGCCTGTGGCTTCTGGACACAGGCATCTGGCTACAAGCCTGGTCCTTAGGGATGGATGTTTAACCATACAAAAAGCTGTAGGATTGCTTGCAGTGGGCTTTGTCTGCGATAGAACGCAGTGAGGCACAGAGGGTGAGAGATAAGGGAGTGGAAACACCACTGTGCATATTGCTAATGATAATTCAGTGGACAGCATACACTCAAACAGCTTTCCTTTGTGTATACATCAACTAGGTGTGGTGAAAGTTGCTAGTGATTTTAGCTGCTCATGCTGCTATTTCTGATGTCCTGTTCAACTCTTAGGAGCAAACATATGCCTGCAGAGGGCTTGCCTTGGTGGGTGTATACCAGCATGTCATGCTGCAAAGGTGCAGTCTGGTGCTTTCTGGGAAAAAGAGAACAAGAGGGAGTAAAGATAAACCACCACTTCAGAATTGCTACCTCCTTCCTCTGTTATTCAGGCACTCTCTGTTTGTGTGACTTTAAGCCTCAATCTGTTTCTCCATTTCTAGCTAGGATTGTCTCATCTCTTCTTTTTCTGTTGGTCTGGAGAAACTTAAAATATTTTGAAGAAAGAACAACAGGATAAAGTCAGCAGATTGAGACAAGAGCCAGGCTTGAGCAAGGACTTCTTTCCTAGTAGTGCCTACAGTAACAGCAGTGCCATGGCTATCATGGACTAGGAAACGAGACTGTAAAATCATTTGTGCTACTGGTCCTAAAAGACTTAGAATGGGCTTGTAATTTATTTATCTTTTAACTCTGCTCAGATTCACAGCAGGGGTAATAAAGAGGGAAAGGATGATACATTTTGAGCGTGTACTGTGGCGAGCCTGCAGGGGAAATATCTACCTGAGGTACACCGAAATGGATACCCTCCTGGAAGACCCTGTGAAAGTAGGTGCCAACCTAGTTTTACTTCATGCTGCTTTTCATGCATGCCTGTGACCTGTAGGAACCAAACTGGTGCCCTGGCTGTGCTGCAGCACCAGCTGCCTCACCAGAGCTGGGTGTCTGAGGGCAACCTGTAGAATAAAGGTGGGAAGGTTTGAGGATTTAATAAGTTTATTTGACATTGCTTTCCCTTTCTGCCATTATTGATGCTTATTTTTCCTGCCTGGTTAAAATGCTTGTGAACCCTAGCAAGGTGGCTGTGTTACAGGGACTCTTCGCTCTTGGTAGCATCAAATTCTGCTTGAATTGTGTTGCAGAGAGAAGAGGTGAAGAAGAACGTGTTCATTATCTTCTATCAAGGAGAGCAGCTTAAGCAAAAAATCAAGAAGATTTGTGATGGGTAAGGCAGTCCTGTGGGCAAGGCAGAGGCAAGTAAATACCTCCATGGCAGGGACTCCCATGGAGGTATTTACCTGTCAGCTCAGGCTGGCTGAATTTGGAGCTGTAGATCTGATCTCCAGCTCTCTGGCAGTCAGCTCTGCCACCAGACTCCCTTCTCCTCCTCAGCTCTGCTGCTCTTAATCATGAAAGGTGTCCATCACCTTGGCACTTGGAAATCAAGGTCCTAAATTTTCCAAAGTGACTTCAAGATCTTCGAGCTTCACTTGTTGTGTTTTTAACTTGGGATATCTTAAAGGGGCATGGTTTTTAAGAAATATTCAGCATCCTTCCCCTGAAAAGCAGGGGCCCTAACTTGGGCACTGGGAACATGGTAATCCCCAGCCTGTTCTCAAGCTTTCCTGCATTTCATCATGAAAAAGAAGATGCTGTATTTTATTCAATCCCTTCCCAAGGCCTTAGAGCAGTATCTGTGCAATCAGAGACAGAGCCCAGGAAAGAAATGAAAGCTTCATACAACCTGACTTATTTCTACCCTGTTAAGCATCTTGACAAGGTAATTCAGGTTGAATATTTTGTTACTCTTTCATAACGCTGATGACCGATGGGCTTTGTTGCAGTGTAAATCAGATTTGATGAGAGGATCTGCCTGTTGTCACCAAATCCATTTCAGGTATATCCCTGGCCAAGTGGGGCCAGCCAAGTGGGGTCAGCCAAGCGCCTGCGGGCTGCAGAAGGTCACAGGGACGGGGTGAGCAATTGCTCTTACCCAACTTGTGTGCTTAAGGCAGGTCTTTCCTTACATCATGCCTTTAGTCAGAATAAAAGCAGGAAGATCAGTTCATCCAGCTGGGATAACTGAGTTCATTCCCATGAAGCGGCAGATCCCTGGGGACTAAGCTATTAGCAACTCCTGCATTAGAAATGGGGGCCCTCCAAGATGCCTTCTATAGGCAATGAAGGGCAGTGCTCATCCTGAGAGCAATCCAGCCCTCCTGAGGTGGGCATCTCTCTCTCTTTCTGAAGAAGCCACAGGAGCATGGCCAGCTGGGAGAAGACTCCCAGCTCTCAGTCACTGCTTTCTGATCCTGAACCTCAGACGTGAAGGGAGTTCTGCCATCACCACTGTGCAAGCTCAGTCTGCTGCTGCCAGTGGCCTTCAAGCTTTCAGCCAGTCTCATTCACCTGGATTACAGTTTCCTGCCCATGGCCCATTTCTTTAGCTGCTTTTCAGATGCTGTTCAGTACCCTTCTCCCCTTCTGCACTCATAGGCAATTGCTGGTGATGAACATTTCCCATTGCACCTGCCCCTGTACTGATGGCCTTGCAAGTTGCAGGCCATACATTTAGAGCTAGCTGGGGTTGCCCACGGAGTGCTGCAGGTGCTGTGTTTTGGAGGATTTTATTTTTCGTTTTTCTTCCTCTGCAGCAATTTAAATTCCCTGCAGTTGAAAGCTCAATACTGTTTTTTACTGGGGAGGGAGTAAAAGAATAGGCACTGCAATTCCTATCAACATTTTCATTATTGATTGAACCGGAATCATCCATGCTGGAGGCACGACTTTCTGCGGCAGGGTGCAGCTGGGAGCGTGAGCAGATGCCTTCAGGGTGGGTCACGACATGCAAAGTTGTTGCAAGCTACTGGCATGGATGTGGTGGTAGGTTCATAGAAAGGAGCATAGACTAGTTTCCCCTCAGCCTCTTGTAACTGAAGAAAAACATACCTACCTAAGACAAATTCACAGGATATCCTTTGCAGTGCTGGTGTACTGGTTTTTGTTTATTGCCAGATAATCAGGCTACCCTTGAAGTCATCCTCTATGCCTTTTCTTCCACCCTTTCAAATCTTTTGCTTGCTAATATGCACATATATAGGGATGTTTTGCTGAGTGGCAGTTTTTTAAGTAAGTGCATTAATTCCGTGATTCTTCTTTTGTGCTCTGTGGGCCATCAGCCATCCCTGGAACACAGGCAAAGTTATTTTGGTCTCGTCCATCTTTAAGGCAGGGTTAACAGTACCTAAAGCAGATGGCACTGTCATTCCAGCCCCAGCAGGACATTTCTGCTTAGCACTAAGTCATCATTCATGACAAGTAAATACCCTGCAAAAATCATGGGACTGGTATAAGCCAGTCTCCTACAAGGCAGGCTAAGATTTGTTTGCAGAGCAGTGTGCCTCAGGTTACACTTGTAGTCCCTGCTTGACTCTAATTGGTAACATTAGTCTGCCAATTTCATGAGCATTAAGTCCATGCACAAATTTATTAGTGGAAGGTGTAGAGGGAGCAGGGAGGAGGAAAACGTATGAGTTTTTCTTTTCCTCCTTTTCTTGGGGCTGCCTCAGTGCTAATGTGAATACTAAACTGGGTTTATCAATGTAAGGATTCCCTGCTGAATTCTCCTGGAGCTTTCAGAGATGTCTGTGCCATTAGGGCAAAGCCGATACTCAGTATGCAAAATGGCTGTTAAAACATCAAAGCAACATTGCTGCAATAACGTTATTGGAAATGGGGGAACTGTACAGCACGGAGGAATAAGCTTTCAAGTTTGATTAAAAATCCTTATTAAAGATGAACTAAGAGCTGTGAAGAATAAGAAGATGGAAATAATTAGGTAGGGTGAATAACCTTTGGAAATGAATACCAGGTGTCGAGTGAGGAAAGATTCAATTCTGGAAAGGGAAGTTTAGCTGACAAGCACGTGCTGTCACTGAACACGGCTCTGCGCTGATCTCTAGGAAACTGCAGCATGTTCTGTTCAATTTGCAACTGTCCTCACTTCTGCGTGTGCTGGAACTGATTTTGGAGAGCAGGTGGTGATATATTCTGTGCCCAGACAAAGCCAGAATGTGACGCTTATCTGTACACAGAGCATGCACATTTTTGTCTCTTAAACAGGGATGGACCCCTATGACCCTGTTACATCTTTTTTTCATTCATCTCACATGCAGAAAGGCAGCCCATCAGCATCCCTAACTCAGTGTAAGTCCACTGCAGGATGGTAGAGGTGTGTTGCTTTAGGTGGGCAGAAGATCTTCACTCTGTAAAGAGGAGTGAGATCTCTTCCTTCAAACCTGTTGAGGCAATATAGAAGAATGACATTTACAATGCCCTTGAAGTGGTAGGGCTGGCACAAGCACTACACATTGCTGAACAAACTGAGTAGGAAAAAACTGAAGGATCTCTGCTATTTTAGTTACTGCAGCACCTCAGTTCCGTTGAAGCTTGTAGGCACAGAACCTTGCAGCAGCACACCTTGTGGTCTGCGATATCCCAGTGGGAACACCTTGTGCCTGCTCTTCATGCATGAAGTACACTCTGGGACTCGTTTTGCAGGCAGAACAGGTAACTGTACACTTTTCAGAGAGACATGCAACTTATTTCTAATTGGCTGTATTGGGTTCATCTAGTGGCTTTGCGACATCGCAGTGTGCTGTACTAGTATAAGCACCTTTACGCAGGTATGACTTGCAGTTGTACTAGAGAAAATCATGTTGTGTACTATAGATGAAGCAGTATACAAAACCTGCATGGAGATGAGACCTTCACTCATGTATTAGAAGCCCAAATTATACCATACTAAACAAAACAGCTGAATCTCCCAAATACAGCCGTGGGGGTAGGCTTATAAAAGCATTTCTACTGGCCTGGCCACATCTAAGCTGACATAACAGCTACTGCTCTCACCCATCTTTCCCTTGCTCACAAACTGTCTAGCCAAACAGATGGACGAGAATTCAAGAGCCGGCTGTACAATCATCCTCCTTTTGTTTCACCCTGGAAATACAGTCTTTTTGTTTTTCTTTTCGTTTTCTATTTTTTTTAGCAGAGTTATTCACATCCACAGCCTGCAGGCAGGCAGGGTGTTTTCTTGCTGTGCAGCAGTAGCTCAGCTGATGCCTTCTCCCAGTGACTGGGAGAGGGTAGTACAGGGACGAGGTATTTTTCCAGCCTCAGTGCAAGAGGGACATCTGTTGGCTACTGTGTTAAAGGAGCTGCCTTTGCTACGGTGGGTTTTTCTATGGCTCTTCGCTGCTCAAGCAGCTTGTGGGCATGAGGGAGGTGCTGACCACTGTGTAGTATCATGTAACTTGTAGCACCTGAGACAGAGACTGTTTTTTCAGCTAGAACAAGCGAAAGGATCTTTTTTCAAACGGAAACATAAATGTACCTCTTCCGGCCTTTCTGGGAGACCAAGCATGACTTTGTAGTATGTAAGAGGAATATATTACTGGATGAGGATTAAAGTACAGTTTCCCCATCTTTTGAGCTGAAAAAAGTCCAGAGAAAGAACACTCAGTCAAATAAATGGTGTTTCTCACTTCTCTCTTACTGAGGCTAGATTTCATGCCACAGTCTATCCCTGTCCGGAGTCTGTCACCGAGCGCCGAGAAATGCTTGATGGGGTCAACACAAGGATCGAGGATTTAAACACAGTAAGTGCAGCAGTTTTACTGGGGTCTGAATCCTGCAAGTGGGACCTGCCCAGACATTTGTCCTGTCTGACACCCTGTGGCCGTGGGCAGATCCCAGGCTTGTTCTGGGAGCTGGCTGTGAAGAGTTGGCTGGGCACTGGGCATGAAGCTGTCAGCCCGGGAGTTGTCCTCCCACTGGTTGCAGAGACCGGTGCTTGTGCTCTGCTCTGCCCATTTATACCCCCGAGGAGCTGCTTGGGGACTGCCTTCCATTTGAGGGACCCAAAAAATACTTGCTGCTGTTGGCCATGCAGAGGTCAGAGATTTAGGCTTTATGATATGGGGCTACAAAGTGGGATTTAATGTCATCAGCAGGCTGCAGGTATTGTAACCAAATTGCACATGGTCCAAAGTGGTTTCATCTAGATCTTACAGCAGCTCACAAAGTTGTTTGGTCACAACTGTAGTACTCTAAAAATTTCTTTTGTATTTAAATTGGGTTTTCTTTACTGGGGAAATCTTGGGGTGCTTGTCACACTAGCAGTAAAAGCCAGTACTGCTGTTATAGAAGTACAAGCCTCCAACCTCTTTATTCCAACATTTGACACAGGGCTGGAAATGACAAGTTCGGTTGTTACGGGTACTCACTAGCTTGTATATCAACACAGTGTATCAGGACTTCACACCTTAGGAAGGGACTCCTGCCTGTGACCTTTGTATTATCACACATGACAGTCAGTGGGTCCCGAGGCCAGAGGGAGCAAACACCCTGTTTGCCTGAGGTGGCCCATCTGGCAGTTGACATCCTGCTGTCACCCCTCTTGTGAACACCCGTGACTGCCAGGCATGCACGCAAGTCTGCTTCCAAACTTGACTTTCACTCCTGAGCATTGCGGGCAGCCAGGTTGCTGGCTTGTAGCAGAGCTTCTAGACCACACAGGTCTATAAGGCACATTTTATCTGTCACTTGTTTATGCAGCAGTGTTCTGGTGGCCACATCATGCATGGAGGTTCCATTGGGGCCATGAGCTTTAGCTCTGGCAGTGCAGGCATACTTGTGGATGTGATGTGCCCCAAGTTAACGGCACAGAGCTGCTTGCAGGAGATGGCAGGGTGGGAGTGCATGGCCAATCCCACAGCCCAGTACCTCCCACAGCTCAGTAACTCCCAGTGGTCTCCTCTACATTTAGAGAGGCTTGAGGCCATGCAAGGAAAGCCCTTAGTAAACAGCATTGTGCAGCTGGTGTCAAGTGCTCCTGTGTTCAGACCTGCACACAGTATCCTTCAGGATACCACACACTATCATACAAATCACTCCCTTTCCACAACCCTCTTCCACCTGCCTTCCCCAGATAACTGCTGTGTAGGTCATGCCACTTAGGCCTTTCCTATCTCAAGCACTGCCTGTGTTGTGCCTACAGGTGATAGCCCAAACTGAGTCCCATCGCCAGCAACTGCTGCATGAGGCAGCAGAAAATTTGTGGTCCTGGAGGATCAAGGTGAAGAAAATCAAGGCCATCTACCACATCTTGAATTGCTGTAACATTGACGTCACCCGGCAGTGCGTCATTGCAGAGATCTGGTTCCCAGTGGCTGATGCTAGCCGGATAAAAAGAGCTCTTCAGCAGGGAATGGTAAGAGACCAACATTTTGGGTCCCAGAAGATCTCACCCAAACTTCATTGTTTATATGTTAAGCATATGTTCAGACTTCTCTTTGTTACCCTGATGTTGTGCTCCCTTTTATGTTTTAATTAAAGTAGGGGTTGTTGCATGATCACTTGGCCTCAGGGAGTTTAAGGTCAGCATTTAATCTTAGCAGGTTTGTGATTGACTCATGAGTCAGCAATGCTGGCAGCTTTCCCTGAACAAATCAATAGGACAGAGTATGGAAAAATCTGGATATTAGAAAAAGGGTTGAGGTATAACACTTTTGAGCCCAGCTTTCGTCTTGCTGCCTGCACATATTTGGTCACAGACCATAGTGCTGTGGGGCTGATCCTTCTCTGCTAGCCACCCTGACTGCATCTGTCCTTGTCACCGGGTTTGCAGGAGCGCAGTGGCTCTACTATTGCTCCTATCCTTACTGCTATACATACCAGGATGGCACCACCTACCTTCAACAGGACCAATAAGTTCACAGCAGGATTTCAGGACATTGTGGATGCATATGGTGTGGGCAACTACAAAGAAATTAACCCAGGTGAGAAACACTCATCTACCTGCACCTGGCTTGCTAGAGCTAAATTAAAGCGTTTGAGCTCTGTCACTATGCTGAAGCATTCACTCATTGGTGAATGAGGTATCTGAATGATATTTTCTGCTGGTAAAAATTTATACTGTTTGGTGCATAGGCATGGCTTTTCCCAGGCAAAGAATTTGGCCTGCAGTCTTCAGTGCTTGATTGTGGCAGGAGTAATGACTACACAAATACAGGATGGGGAACAAATGGTGAGGTAGCACCTCTGAGGAGAAGACCTAAACTCACAAGCCAAATATAATATTTTGCCTCAGCATGATGACTCAACTTGTCACGCTGAGTCAAAAAACCCCCAAAGGGACCTGATAAAAGCATGAAATAGTGGTAGGGAATCTCAAAGAGACCACTGAGAATGAACAGAAACCTAGAAATGGAGGCCCATGGAAGGGTTGGATGAACTCAGATTGTTGAGGCTAAGACTGAGAAACGTGATGCTAAACTTCAGGTACATCATTCTGTAACAAAACAGAATGCAGTTGTCTATGCATGGTGTTTATTATGGTGAGACAAGAAATGAAGGCTAGAATTGCAAGGAAAATGCAGGTCATACTGAACAATCTGATGATAAAGCTAGTTCTGCACTAGATCTGACTACCTGGTGAGTAGGGGAGGGATCGTGGAGGCCTTTGAGGGCAGCTGCAGTGAGAAATGGTCCAGTAGGGTGGACTGCTTCTCTGCTGAGGCCTTTTTGTTTAGGAGGGGCTGAGCTTCTTGTCCTTTCCTTCCTGCAGCTCCATACACTATCATTACCTTCCCCTTCTTGTTTGCGGTGATGTTTGGGGATTGTGGCCATGGCGCTATCATGCTGGGCTTTGCACTCTGGATGGTCATTAATGAAAAGAGCCTTCTGGCCCAGAAAAGCGCTAATGAGGTGAGTACCAGGGAGCCGGTGCACCCTATTAGCGTAGGAAAAGGCTCATCATCCCCATTTGATAAAGAGGGCATCCAGCCTCCCAAAGGATGAGTGGAGCTCCTTCAAAGATGCTTGTGAGGCAGAGATTTGACAGGTGATTCTGTCTGCTTCTACACAGAGACCTGAATGGGCCCAGGGGGCCTGGAGTTTCCTATGAATTATTGTATATAGATAGATGAGTACAGTCATGTTTCCTGTTGGCTAAGGCTCACTATTTGATGGGACTGCAGGTACTTTGATAACTGGCACTGCCTTCTCCTCCTTCAGATCTGGAACACCTTTTTTAATGGGCGCTACCTGATCCTGCTCATGGGCATATTCTCCATATACACTGGCTTCATCTACAATGAATGCTTCTCCAAATCGTTCAACATCTTTGGCTCTTCCTGGCATATCATCCCCATGTTTAAAAATAACACTTGGAAGTAAGTGGCTAAATGTGAAAATACACTGAATGCAGCACATAGACTTTGAAAGAAAGACATAGTGACTGCCTGTGTGGGGAAGGGAAGAACTCCCTGCTGTGGATGCAGTCATGAATGAATCAGAGGTTTTGTCTGACACACACGAACGAGCTCACTATTGAAATGTAAATGTAGAGTCCCGGGGAACATGCCTGTTTGTTCAGGCACTGATGTGCATAAAAATCTGCAGGTGTCCAGGACTGATGCATAGAGAATTATCAGTGTGATGGAGACTGTCATTGTGTAGGACCCATTTATAAACACACACATGCACACAAGCCCAGAATAACAGTTCACAAGAGGCTGGAGTCAGTGACACATATCATGTGGTAGTCCTCAGCGCATCTCACAAATATACTGTAGGCTTATATGGTGAGATTAAGCTGCAAAGGTCATTTCCTTTTCCTCTTGTAGCAAGGATGTGCTTCTGGGCAATCTGGTGCTGCAGCTGGATCCGGCAGTCCCAGGAGTCTACTCTGGAAATCCATATCCATTTGGAATAGATCCGGTAATTAAATTAAATTGCTCTAAGATAATTTGTATTTCATTTCTGTTTCTACATATCAGGTACATCAGTGGCTCCCTGCTCTGTCTCCTGAAGCTCTGCTCTTCACTTCTTGCTCTTTGCCTATTCTTTACATAGTTGTGATGCTTTTCTATAGCAGTCAAGGATATATGTATGTTGCTGACCATTTCGCACAGGCAGCAGCAAAATGGTAAGCAGGAATAAGAGTGGTCTTGTGCTGCAGTCTCTGCCCTGTCACCAGACTGCTGGTCTCAGTTTTGAGTACTTAACCCATTCCAGAGCTTCTTCACAAGTCTGAAGGCAAAGTCCTGATTCCCATGCAGTCTATTTATTGTATGAAGTGTGAATTAAATGCCAGTATTAGTTGACTTACTCGGATTTTCTTCTCTGTGTCTGTCTCTTCTCTATGTCCCTTTTCTTGCCATTCTGTCTTTACCACGTGTTGAAACATAGTTGTTAACATTAAGCTTTCCTGTTTCAGTCTTCATATTAGCCGGTTAACCTTTGCTCTGCTGGATGTATGCTCTTATCAGTTGGTCACACAAAGAAACACTGGCTTCCCCTGGTTTGCAGAGACATTGACCTTGTAGTAAGCTTTTCATAAACCCAGCTCTAAAGCTGTGCCCAGGACATAGGCAGTCACGTCCTGACAGAGGAAGCTGAATTTTCTGTATGTTGCCCTGACACTTCCCTAAGTTAGGTTAACCTAGGCTAGCCCCTCTTTGACCCTGGCTGCTGCCTGCTTGAGAGGCTGGTACCCGTGGCTGGGAGGGAGGAATTGCTGACGAGTGCTGGCAGGGAATGTGTGGACTGGAAAGCACCAGCCCTTGCATGGCCCTCTCTGTGGAAATTGCCCATGTCGTCTGCCCAGAAGGATGGATGGCTCTTTACATTTTGCAAGTCCTGACAGGATGGTTGAGGTGCATCTTGGAATATAAAGTCACCCTGAGGTTAGTAGGCTAGGCAGTCTCTTTCATAGCCAAAGAAGAGGCGAATCATGTTGTACAAAGTCTCATAAACTGATATTTTTGCTTCAAAATAATCCTGTCTTCATTCTGTTCAGGTACTATACTTTGTGTCTGAAAACAAGTATCTATTTACCATCTCTGGGGTCAGATGACTTTAGGGTCTAGGAAGTTTTAGAAAAAAGGAGCAGCAGCCCTGAAACTCTGTAGCATAAAAAAGGCGATAATCTGGTCTCCATGGTCGAAGTGTTGGAATGAGGTTTTATTTTGTTCAAACAGAAAGTTTGAACATGCTTTGCCCTGGTTACTTCTCTGGTGAAGGTGGAACAAATTTACATAGCAGCAGAAAGGATTTTCTCATGGCTTTCCACCTCTACTAGTGGATATATGACTCCTAAGGGCAAGGAATGACACTGAAAAGATCTAGGCTCTGCTACCAACCTTTGCATTGGTTTCTGGAAGACTGAAACAAAGTCACATAATTTTAAATCCCTGTTACTTCCTCTGTTAAATGAGGATAATACTTTATACCATTTAGATGGGAAGCTTGGCAGAGTGAAAAGTATAAGGAACATCTAGATTTTCATCACTTGTTATCTTTCTACTAGAACTGGTAGGAATAAGTTGGTGGTGTCAAAGCAACAACTTTCAAAAACCTGCTATTGATTATACACCTGAAAATCTTGTTCTTCTGTCTCTCTCTGCTCCTTTCCCCAAAGATCTGGAGTCTTGCATCAAACAAGCTGACTTTCCTGAACTCCTACAAAATGAAGATGTCGGTTGTCGTAGGGATAGTGCACATGATTTTTGGGGTGATACTCAGTCTCTTCAATCACATGTAAGTTTGCTTCACTGAACTAGTGTACTTCATTCAGAGAAAGCCTCATATTTCAGAGCAATGACTTGAATTTTGTCCTTTCCCCAATGCGAGCAGAAATGCCCCATGCACTGACTGACTCACACCACTGCTGGTACAGAGTGCTGAGTCTGAAGGCTGGAAGGACAGCTGTCACATTGCAGATATTCTCTTGGATAAATTCTCTTTTTCACTTTCTCTCTTATATGCTTGACCCTGCAGAAATACTGAAGTGCACTAACTTAAAAATATAGCTCACCTCCCACTATTGATAACTTTTGCCACACTGAAATTTTCACAGTAGGTGTGTGTGCATTTCATCTGGCTTAGTGAGCCTTTGATCAGGATCTGTGTGTGTGTGTGTCTGTAACTCTGCCTTTATATTTTGCAAGAAAAAAATAAGAAATAATGCTAGGGTGGAGGAGCTGACACTACTGTCTTGAGAGACTCTCCAAAGTGGGAAGTTGTGTAATGACCTTGAAGGATGGAAAGTGTTTGTGGATGACAGAGAGGAGGACTGCCCCTGCAGAGTTGATTCTGCACCTCGTTCTGACCTTCCTCAGGGTATAATGCTTAAATTTGTGAATTAGCCATATGTTTTTAAATTAGCTTTTATTTCAATGTAGTAATCTTTTGAAGTGCTGAGATACTGACGGGTCAAGTACAAAAACCTAGAAAATAATCAGTATAACAAAGCTTTTGTATTTAAATAATGCCTTTCATTGGTAAAGACTGCAATTACAGACTTCTTTCTTAGCTAGTGATAGTTGGATGTTTCTTACGTTATTTTCCAAAGACTAAGTAGTCTACTCTACTGCCATAGTTGGGTGCAACCTTGTATTAATACCTAGTGTATTAATTGCAGTTATCTTTCTTGATTCTTTCCAGCTACTTCAAGAAACACATAAACATTATCCTTCAGTTCATTCCAGAGATGATTTTTATTGTCTCTCTTTTTGGCTACCTAGTCTTCATGATTATTTTCAAATGGTGCCATTTTGATGTCTACTCATCCCAGAGTGCACCAAGCATCCTCATCCACTTCATCAATATGTTTCTGTTCAACTACAGTGAGACTTCAAATGCTCAATTATATCTGCATCAGGTATAGATCAATCCACTGTAGCTGGTTTTGGGTTTGCAGTGGGTGGTGTGGAGAGTGGGCATAGAGATGGGGAACAGGCTCAGAAGTTCAATTGCAACTGCCAGTCACGTAAGAGAAGTTTGTTCCACTGGTATTTGTGTTGACCTTGAAGACAGGTAAGACAGTGAAGCTATCAATCACTGATGCAGAGGAAACCTCATTCTTACTGTCATCCTTGTAAGAATGATGATGCAACTTCAGATGCTTTTGGGGAAAAAAAGGAAAGAAGGGTGTTTAGATGTGCAAAGGTGAGTATAGCAGATGAGCTGTCCTGAAGTCTGGGCACAGTGCTAGAGACAAAGCAAGCTTTTCCTTACCTTGGTAATTTCTTACTTCTTTGGAAAACCTGAAAACTTTATATTTTCAGCTGAAAAGGATTTTCTGGCAACTTTTTGTCAGACATACCTCCTTTGGGGAGTTCATTTTAAGAAGGAAATCTCCCCTAAGAGAAAACTTCTTTTAAAGTCATCCCTGTTTATTTGCTCAGAGCATGGATTTTTTTTTTTCTTGCTTGATTTTACATCAGCAGCATCAGTGAAGAATTTGTAAGCAAATGCTACCTCCAGCCAGATGTATGCATTTACAGCTATACAGTTTCACACTGGCTTTTCAACATGAGTTCAGTTTTAGGGCTTCTGGTGAGTCAGTAGAGAACCCTAATCAAGTTAACTGCATTAAGGTTGCAGGAGAGTTTGGGAAAACACAGTTTTCCCAGCCTTCAAAAAGTCTTCAGATAACACTTTGCTTTTTAACAACCCGAAGTCTTTCCAAGATGGTACTTTTATTCTTATATTCCTGTCACACTGCCCCACCAGTGACTGTCTGTGCCATCCACCTGGATAGTCTGAATGCAGAGATTGTATGAGACCAACCATAAGGTAATCGGAGATCTGAGACAGCTTTAAAATAATGCAAAAGTTATAGTTTGGGGTGGTTTTGGTTTGAGGTTTGGTTGGTTTTTTTACCTTCTTTAAGTACAGTTATGTTAGGACAGCGATAGGGGTGGCACACTGCAACAGAACACCTTACATTATGGGGCAGTGTGTTATCAAACCTAAGCTATGGGGGTTCAGTTCCCTTCTGGAATTGCAAATGTAGAGCATATCCTGGTTTCCCTGCTTTCCAGGGAAAGACTTGAATGACTTGGCTCTTACTGCAGTGTTTCTAAGTTGATCAAAGCAAGACAGACTCACTGGCCTACCCAGCAGTTAGGACACTCACTTGGGACACTGGACAGCCAGGTTCAAGTCAGAAACATTGGGGTTTGGCAAATTAATCCTTTCCAACATGAAAGCCTTTCATTTCTGAGTGTCCAGCAATGTCTATATGGCAGTGCTTTCTGGAGCCTTGAGTGGTACACATTTATTTTCATATCCTTACAAGCAGAGGAGGCTCAACTGATACAGGGAGTATATCTGTTGTATAAAAAAAATACCATTTTATACAATCAGGTTTCTAATTGTAACTGTAGTTGGTTAAAGGAAGTAAAGCAATGTTTTGCTCTTGTTGTTTTGTCTTTCAGAAAGAAGTGCAGAGCTTCTTGGTCATACTTGCTCTGATTGCTGTTCCTTGGATGCTGCTAATTAAGCCTTTCATCCTCCGAGCCAACCACCAGAAAGCACAGCGCATGGTAAGAGATGTGGATCAGGCAAGAGGGATTCAGTACAGCAAAGGCAAAGCTGAGGAGACAGACCCCAAAAACTGTTTGCAGTGGTCTAATTCTGCTTTTCTCTGATACAGAATCATGTTACAGAATAGTCAGGGTTGGAAAGGACCTTAAGATCATCTAGTTCCAACCCCCCTGCCATGTCCAGGGATGCCTCACCCTAGATTATATCAGAGTTTCTCTGGTGATTTCAAGCTGTGTTTTATGGCACGTGCCAAAAGCATGTGTATGCACATTTGGCTGAGCCATCTAAAAGGGAAGTGGGAGCTTTGCTCACAAGGCCATACTCTGTTGGGAGAGGAGTTAACCTGGCACCGAGCTTTTTCACATGTTGCATCCAAAACCAGAGAAGGTTTAGGAAGACTGAACTGCTGATAAAGCCAAGACAGGGCAAAGACGTAAGTTGTTAGTCCACAAGCACCGCTAACCACTGGTTGGCTGCTCTGTAGGAGCAGGGCATCTGTGATACTCCTGGCCTTGGAGAGATCAGTGCTGCTTGGAGATGAGGCTTGATTTAAAAGCTGGGGTGTGCTTTCTTCCCTAAGTGATTGCCTTCACATTAACAGAGCCCTCCTTCCCATGGGCTCTGTGGTTTGCCCAGCTCTTCAGGATGTAGCTGCGGCAGCTGCAGTTTCCCAGTTGCTCATTAATTCTCTCCTTTATTACACTAACAGGACTTTACTTGTCTGTCAGGATTTACTTCTCTTTATAGTTGGAGTTAGTGCCTGGAGTACCTTTTATAGGGCACAGATGTTTCCATTTGAAGAAAGAGATGCTGGCTGTGCTGCCTGACCTTTTCCAACCCAGTCACTTCTGACCTATACCAGAAAGCCAGGTCCCTGGGAGACCTTTGCAACCCTGCCTCTGAGCTGTAATTTCTTATTTTGTCATTCTTCAGGGATTTGGATGAAAGCTTGACATGGCTGACTCCATCTCCTGCTTTTGTGCTAGCAACATCTGACAGCTTTTCCCCACCTCCTATTATGCCCCTGTATTTCTGCTCCTAATTCTCATATGTTAGCTGTCTGATCACATCTTACATTTACCCAGATTTATATGTTTGCAACAAGGCCTGTTCTCTAAGCCGACATCCAGGTAATGCAAAAATAAAGCGTGTGCAACAGTGATCACTGCTGCAATAGGAAACAATATGTTATCATGAGACCTTGCCCATGAAACCTGCTGGAAGCTATAAAGAGTGACAGGTCAGAACCTGACAGAAGCTGTGAGGTCCATGTTTCTTTATGCTGTATAATAGGACTGTTACAGTTATATAATGTAGGGCTATTCTTATGCTGTGCCGTCATTTCTGGAGAGAAGCTCAGATAAGCTTGTTTAGGCCTCTAGAAAAGCTCTGCAAAGAATGATTATGGAGAGAAGATGGGTTGTCATGAGGTTTTTGTCAATCTGAAATGAATCAAGAGATCTGAACTGCATTTCTGTCTGTATCCAGGAACTGTGTCACCTTCACCAAGTCACCTGATCCTTTCAGGCTCCATTTCCCTTTCGTTTGATGCTAATTCCTTTGATTTGCACCCATCTAATTGAGATCATCAGTTTTAATGTGCTTCAGTTTTCTCATTTGCCTAGAGTGATAGATCTTTTAATGATAGGTATAAAGTATGTATTGCGAGAGTAGAAACTAGCTCCAAATTAGTTGGAATCACTGGAAAATGCTCTAGGATGGAAAATATCTAAGTATTATTAGCCATTCCGCTGGAGTACTCAGTCTGTGCTCCATGATGACTGACTGTTGTTAAAACTTTTCTCATGTTCGTGATACAGTCCTTTAAATGTTGCCTGTCATGAGGCCACTGGAGTTCTGTGCCATGGTCTGCTTCATTTTGGTATCAACCTGTAGCATGACACAAAAGACGTATTACATTTTGTTTCTGAAAGATGCGGTCTCAAGCTGTCTCAGGAAAACCTGGAGGTGAAAATGAGATAGATGTCCCAGAGACTAATAATTCCAAGAAAGCTTCCCAGGGAGACCACAGTGGTGGCCATGGAGGACATGAAGATGGTGATGAAGAGGTAAGAAAATGTGGGCAAAACATTATTCAGACAGACACAATAGTAGAAGACACAAAGTCAAGCAGAAGCCTTTTGCAGAGATGGTAGCCCTTCTTTTTAGCAAGATACCAAGACACACTGTTGGAACAGTTTGTTTTTCCAAACACAGTAAGCTTTGAATTTCCATAGAATGAATTCCTCTGGTTTTTCCTTTAGGAGTGCAAGGGCAGGCATTCTTACAAACCTCAAGCTTCCTGGTGAGGACAGGCACTCTTACAAATCTCAAGCTTTGTTTCACTAGGGGCAGCTCTTTCACTTCCATATCGCACCCAGAGAAGGTCAAGCCTTCCCCACGAGTCAGTGTGTTTTCCTTCCCTTAAATTGCAAAGGACTGTTTAAAAGTTGGCAGCCTGCAGTGCTGGCTAGGGAGAAAAGTTTTCCTTTGGCAGATATTGTCAAGGGCTTTTGCAGTATGCAGCAACAGTTAAAAACTTGACAAAAGTGTCTGTAGCAGTTGGGAGTACCAGCAATATTGAGTGTGGATATAGCTGGCTGTTCCCAGTCACAGGGAATCTTCACAGTATTAGAAGATGTGCTTATTTGGTGGTATCTCCCCAAACAGGTATGCCAATAGGTAGGCAGTCTGAAAACCCCTGTTTTATCTAAGAATTTCTGCTTCTGTAACAAATCACAAAGATTGGTAGCAGTTGGATTGAATTCTAAAGATTTGAAATTATATGACTGGAATATGAGCTGTTGCCTGAATATTTGCTTTTCAATGGAATTGTATTTCTCTGGGGATAGTGTATGGGAGGATCATATGGAACTGACACTTTTCAGAGCAGTCTCTTTATCTGGGAAATATCATTGTGTTGCTCAGGTCATAGCAAGGAAAAGGGAGGAGTATGAAGATCCTTTGGTCTAGTGTTGATCTGTTAACCAGGGAGCCCTGAACTAAGAACTAATAAGAAGTGTTTGGTTTTATGTTGTTTCAGTTCAATTTTGGAGACATATTTGTCCACCAAGCTATCCATACCATTGAATACTGCCTCGGCTGCATCTCCAACACAGCATCCTACTTGCGGCTCTGGGCACTGAGCTTAGCCCATGCACGTGAGTGATTGACTACCTGCTGGTTACCTCAGCAGCAACTCCATCTCCATCAGTGCTTCTGCCAGTGTTTGATTATTGCTACGAAGTTCTCCATGAAATCAAAATTCTCCTTGTGGATGTTTGTGTGTCAGAATGTTTTGCTTTAGGTCAGATCAATCCAAGTGTTTTGTGGTGGCCATCCCTGCTTTTCGGTAGTGATCCCTGCTAGCTATATCACAGGCAGTTCCTGACCATGTTTACTGGCTGGGGCCCCTTTCCCACGCTGTTCTGTAACCACCCCTCTGGAATAGTCCTTATGGTGTGTGGCATGGTTAGGGTTAGGGAAGTGCAGTCCAAATGGATAGTCCAGTCCCTAGAGGTAAAGGAAGTATGGGAACCATAGCTTCTTTGCCCTAGTGGCACTTGCTATAGCCTTAAGGTATGCAGATAAATGTCAAAATGACTTGAAATAGTTATTTTGATTGGGTTCAGCAAATTAGAAAAAATCTGGTTCAAGAGCTCCTGGACGTCTTCATTTTCACTGGGATTTTTCCCAAGTAGCATTTACTAGAACCTCACAATCCATGAGAAATGTACAGCATTTCAATGTGTTTTGTCTTGATTTAAGATAAAAACAAATCATGCTCAAATACTAGAAATTGCCTCAGGCTGGAACTTTGGATTTTCAATGACCCTAATTTTTCTGAAATGTTTTTTATTAATACTGCTGTACTGCCTCTGGCTAGGAATTGTGCCTGCCCTAAAGAATTGGGCACACACTAAAGGAAAACAAAAGGAGGAGGCATGCCATGGATTGGCAGGGGTGAGCTATAATTCTAGGCACAGAAATAAGCTTGACAGGAGTCACGTGGAATCTGATACACATTAGCTTTTACATGGACAACAGGTATCTAAGTAAAATAAAATAAACCCAACTACAAAGCGTAGCTAAGGGCACTCCTATGTGTTACGTACGAATTCTGCCTGGAAAACCATCACATTCCTTTCCAGACTTATAAACTGGCATTGGCAGTTTTTTTCCTGAGGGCAGGGGTTGCAAGGGATCCCTTGCGTCTGTTGTTGAATTTGAATGTGGCTTAAGGACCAATGACTGGCAAAATGGAAGGCTGAACTGGTGGCTGGATCATCTGAATAGAGGAGAGCTGAGCTAAGTCCTTGCTTTGCCTGCTTCACAAGAGGAAAATTGCTAGGCCATGAATCTATCCTGAGTGAATGGGGTAGTTAAGGTAGGAATATGTTATTGAGCTGACAGGACACATCAGATGTACCAGTGCTGTGAATGTTGATATAAACCTGTGCAGGAAAAAAAATCTTCAAGAGCATGCAAGCAATCTAAACACTAATATGGCTTGCCTTGGGTATGATCAACCAGTTGCTTTTTATTTTCCACCACAGCTTCTCCATGGCACCCGAAGAGTGGTGGTTTGGAGAACAAATGGGAATGAAGTGTTTCCTGTGGGATTTAGCTAGCATCAATCAGTACAGCTTGTAACCTAATCTACATATGTATCGACTATGTCAATCGATCACTTCACTGGGATTTAGCAGCAGGCAGTTCTAGAAGGCTCCACATACTGCCTATCATCTGCCATGTTAAAGAGGTGCAAATGAAATCAATGACTGTATCACGCCAGGGTAATAGCAGTCTTGGTAGTGTGCTTGCATAAACTTGTGCTGCAAAGCCAAGCCAAAACAGCACCATCAGCTTCCAACACAGTGAAGACAAGCAGTGGAAAACAATCTGCATCCACTTTACTTCCCCAGTCATCATGGAGAGGCAGGGTGGCCATACATGATTCCTGTCATGTACATTTTATCCTAGGCCAACTCTAACTGAGAAGCATGGGTGAGCTTCCAGACTGTGTACTCTGTCTGTCCACAGTTATTGCTCAGCACTGTTTTCCCTTTATTTCCTTTTGCAGAACTGTCAGAGGTCCTTTGGACCATGGTGATGCACAGCGGGTTAAGCAACAGCAGCTGGGCTGGCTTTGTCATCATCTTCATCATCTTTGCGGCATTTGCAGTGCTGACGGTGGCCATCCTGCTGGTCATGGAGGGGCTCTCAGCCTTTCTGCATGCCTTGCGTCTGCACTGGTAGGTGGTGAGGTCTTCTGGAGCTTTTCCTGGAGCAGCCTTTAGGTGGGATCAGGCTGTGAAGACGGGTGGCCATACCAGCCAGTGTTAGACATGCTGTGTGTACCTAAGCATTAGGACATCAGTCCCCTTTGGCAAACGCAGCAAGGGAGACTCCTCCAAAGGGAGGTCTGAGCTCCCTGCTTCATCTCTGAGCTGCTCCTTGGAGCAACTTGCCTGTCCTCCTGAGCTGTGGGCACATGTGGCAAATCACAACCTGCATTTCTGTTCTGGTAAAGATGCAGAAGCACCAAGGCCACCTTGACCTGCATGATAACGCCTGAAGTGGTACATCACAGCTGCACCACTGGTTGTGTATTCCACCAAAGGTTACCATCAAACAAGACAGCTGGGGACTACCTATGGCAGCAAGAGCTCAGCTGGGGCTGCAAAACCAGCTGTAAACCTGGGTCAGCACTTGTACCATTAGCACAGGTTGAGCTCCAGCCTGTTTTGGCTTTTTGGCAAATCAGTTTCAAGTTAGCTTGTGTCTGTCTTAACTAGATGACAGTCCAGAGAAGGACAGCAGTGTGGCACACCATCAGACTAGTATCTAAAGGAAGACCAGCATAACAGGTCACCCTTCATCAGCACCATAACTTGGCATCATGCCTGAACACCCAAGCTGTGGCCTTTTTCACCACATAACATCCCACCACAAACACTGCAAACTGTGGTGCAATTCTTTGTCACTGTGCAAGGGGAGGTGTCTGTCTCCCACCAGTGTGTAGGACCAACAGGCAGTGATCCCAGTTCTCAGAGCTGCTAGAAGCAGTTCAGAGGGCAGGCAAGGTCCTGCTGACTGGCCTCACAAACAGTATTTTTGTGCTGAGGGATGAAGAGCCAAAGTTGATGCATGCAGGGTTGCTCCCTGGACTGCCTATGTCTCATTGCTGGCTCTAGAGGGGCCTACATCACTGCTTTAGAGACCACCATCTCTAACGGTCTCCCTTTTCCTGTGGGTACCACGTTTCAGTCTCTCAGCTAAAGGTAGGTCCTTGACTTTGGGCAGCACTGACACCCTGCTCTGCTTCTCCCCAGGGTGGAGTTCCAAAACAAGTTCTACATGGGAGCTGGGTACAAATTTTCTCCATTCTCCTTCAAGCACATCATCAGTGGCACCGCAGAAGAGTGAATCCAGTGCATTGCTGCTTTGCTCCTCAGACCAGGCTCTATTTTCTTGTGGTAGCTCACACACAGGATAGGGTATATGGGATGAAACAGAACGGCATGTGGCCCTTGAAAGAAGAGCAGCTGTAGATGAAAATGTCCGAGCTACATTCACATATACTGCTGCATCAGCTGAGAGATGAACTACCTCAGCCGGGATGGCTGGACCCTTGGCTGAGTATCTCCACTGATGTCTTTGCCAAGTACCTGGTCCTCAGCATTTGATAGGTCAGCTGCCTACTGCTTGGTTGGAAAAAGGAGGTGCAGCTTTTGAGTTGAATTGGTTATTAATAATCAACTTGCATGTGTTTTGCTCCATTTGCTGCCTTGTCTTTTTGGCATATTTCTTTCAGAGGAAAATATGTTTTGGCTGTTGCTTCAAGCTGTGGTTGATCATATGACACGATTAAGTCCCTTACAAGATTGCAGCCCTTCATTTAGCACACAGTGCAAACCAGCTCGAAGACAGATCATATTGCAGACTTGCAATTTTCTCCATGCTTTAGTACAACAACCCTCTTTTTATCTGATTTGCTCCAGGGCTTGACAGCACTGGATTATAGAAGTTTGCACACGTTATCACTTAACAAAAGTGTTAGTTTCGAGCTGTGTAAATAAAAGAGAGTGCCAGTTTCCACAATGGCAGCCAATTTATTTATCTCTATTGACTTGTTTCTCACTGGAGACTTAACTCCCCATGTGCTGTATTTTTCAAGTTGGGAATGTTACGGTAGACCATAGAAATGCTAATACCTAATGAACAGAAAGAAGAGGGGAATCAAAACAGTTGAGAATAATTTGAAGTATTGATGTACTGTGAACTTCCTAAATATTCATGAATTACTAGTCTTTAAAACTGAATAGTGCTAACCATAGAATCGCAGAATGGTTTGGGTCGGAAGGGACTTCAAAGATCATCTGGCTCCAAGACCCTGCCATGGGCAGGGACACCTTCCACTAGACCAGGTTCCTCAAAGCCCCATCCGACCTGGCCTTGAACACTGAGGGGATGGGGCAGCCACAGCTTCTCTGGGCACCCTGTGCCAATATAACACTATTTTTTATTAACCGCAGATGATACAAAATATCAACACAGCACACCAATGGATCTGGGAGGTGACAGTGCTCCCTTCCATGGGGTGTGACCAAACAAGCTGTATTTTCAAACTTCACAGTCCTGATACCCAGCTCTACCAAAGAAACCCACCTGGGAGTTTTGCCAGCAGGACACACAGTGTGGCAGTCACCAAGGGCCATGCACGTGTGCAGAAGTCAGGCTTGAGAGCTACCTTCCTGCTACATTGCCCCAGGCAAGGCAGTTGTTCCGCTTCTTGCCTTGCGGTCTCAAGAAGCCATACTGGTATTGGGCAGTGGTTACCAACAGACATGTGAGCCTTTTTCCCTTTTAACAACAGCTTGGGTTTGAAGCAGCAGCTGGAGCTGAGAAGTGAGAACAGGAGTGTGTCTATGACCCATGCGTAGCCTCATGTCACTGGTTCTTTAGGCATGGATAACCTACGGTAACAAAAACCACATGGATGTGGATGCAACTGGTTTCACAGTTGCTTGGTGTGTGCACATCACTTTTGTTTCTTTCTTCCAGCCTGTTCTGTTTGTTACTATTCAGGAGAAAAGCTGTCATGAAGCAAGAAAGGCCAAACTAGTTTGATGCATTACAAAACACAGAGAAAACAATTTGCTTTATGAAACAGTGGGCGTATATTCTGCACAAACATATTTTATCTTCATTGCACCCAACCATGTGATTGCAATGAAACTGAGAAGGTGTTTACCTGAAACAGAATATCTGTTCCTTTTAGAGCTTCTTGGTGTTTTGCTTTTTGTCTGAGGTTTCCATTTTAAACAGGAAATACAAGTTATCCTGTGCATACTGCAGGTGACAAGATGCTCTGTTGTTTGCTGTACTGAACAGCTATTCAAACATTTGGCTTAATTCTGTATTCAGCTCTCCCTTTCTGTGTGCAGCTGAGTAATGCAGCAGAGCCTGTGGCTCGCTCACTTGAGCATTCATGATACGAGGATGGCACTTCCCCACTCCATAAGAGGACCAAGCCCACTTATCATCAGGGAGCATTCAGACAGAATGCTGCTGGAAGGCAGGGTTGTTCTTGCACACTTTAAGGAGAGCCCTGGCTTTCATCTGGGTTGTTTTTAAGACTTCTTTTAAACCCCACAAATGTTCCAGAGAGTGCCTTGTTTTTAAAAGGTTTTCTTGCAGAAGATGGGGGGGAATTTTGGAGTAGAGCAGTGACAACCCATTCCCCTGTGCAGCTATTAAGCTGAATGGGACCATGTTTGCTTGCTGGTTCTGTGCATGTGGCCACCAGATGTGGTCAGATCTAGCAGAGACCACTGTCACAGACTTGTAGACCTTGGTACAACACCCCCATGTCTTTGTCTGAACTTCACCCATTGCTAGAGGAGGTGAGATTTGTAATTACCTGACTGGGAACTCTTCAGTGTGCTCCCCCAAGGTGGACTTGGGATCAGTGCCTAGGGAGGAATGGGTGCTTCTGGATCCAAAGCTCATCCCATCGCTAGGAAGGTATTTTGGTTTTGAGAGCTGGTGACATGGGTTATATTATTTTGTAGGAAAGTATATGAAAAGCCTCAGTGAATGACCATGTAGGAAGGGAAAGGGATAACAAAATCAATCAAACTGGTGTCAAGTCACTCACACTCATTCTCTCCTGGATTTTTAATTCCTTCTCATGAGAGCCATTGCTGTGTGTGGCCAGGCCCTCCCGCCAGGACAACTTTGGTGATGTGAAGGATCAGAAAGGCCAGGTATCGAGTTCTTGTCCAGCCTCTTTGGTCCTCTGGACTGTTGATGATGAACTGGCTTTTGGACTGAGTTCTCATAAACTTCAGGAGTCAACTGTTTCTCGAAGCCCGGCCTCTGGCTCCTGCAGCAAACAGTGCTTTCCTCGGTGTTTACTCATACGATGGCTCTCCATCATGTCCATGGCCAGCATGGAGACCTTTCTTCTCACCCTCGTTCTTTTGTTTCTCCTGGAGCTTTCACACATGTAGACATTTCCATTTGTGCTTTGCTCTGGTCAGTCTTTGCATTTCCCTGGCAAATAACTAAAATACCATGAAGTGGTTAAAAAAATGTAATAGACATAGTATCCCTTTGTTCAATCCCAAACACCTGGGCCTGAGAGCTCCTATCTTTGGCTAAGTTCACTGGTACTTTGGTCATTATTATTATATTTATTTTATATTATATTATTATATTTGGTCATTATTGTCATGCCTTGGGTGACATGGTCTAGTGTGGGGTGTCCCTGTCCCTGCAGTGGGGGTGGAACTAGATGATCTTAAGGTCCTTTCCAACCCAAACCATTCTATGGTTCTATGCTGGGAAGCTGGAATGCCTAAACATCTGCACCCTCCTGTGGTTGCACGCATGCTGTCTGAGTTTTTGCAATGAAAACATAATGGTATGGATCTGGCAGCCTGGATCATGCATCTAGTTCAGCAGATGCCAATAATGGCTGTAGCTGAATATTGGATATTATTAAGAAGAAAATGTAAAATAAGGCTGTTAAATAGCATATGTTGGCTGGTAGAAGATGTCTTCCAGATGCTTGGAAACATGATATTTAGCATGGGAGCTACACGCTTTGATAAAACTATTGCAGCATTGCTGCCAGCTCAGTGTAGGTATTTCAAAACAGAAGGATTTGGGAACCCTCATGAGGGAGAGAGAAAAAAACATCTCAGTGTCTTTGCTAGCTTTCAGCAATGTGAATGCTCTTGAGTAGTAAAGGTTGACATAGATGCTCCTAGTCTATAGCACAATACCTATCATAACTCAGATTTACTGACCAACACAACCTGGAGCACTGAGATTTGCTGCATGGTAAGGTCAGTATCACTGTGGCAGTTTAAGTCATGAATGCTCCCTGCAGTTTGTACTTGGTCATGAAATTTAGGATGAAGCAGATGAATAGGTCTAACTTCTTTCATGGTGCTGGCACCTCAGTTGGTTTCATCTGGCCTAAGAGGGGCTGGTGGCTGCTTATGGCTTTGCAGGGGATGGAAAAGGCACCTTACAGGGGCATTGGTGCTTCAGGACCTGCCCCTGAAACCTGTCAGCTAAAATCTTGCTGGTGTTGCAATAGAGATGTCTCCCCAGCGCCCTCCCTCCATCTCCCTGAGGTCATCCCCACGAGAAGGGATGGGCAAGCACCATCACCTGTTGTGGATAGCCCCAGTGGAGGACCTGTAGGTGCCACAGGACTAGCACAAGTCAGCACTGGGACACCCCACCAGCAGGGTATAGGCAGGTGGAGAGGGACCCGCCTGTACCCAGCAGGGAGGAAATCTGACTCTCAGGACCTGGATCCCAAAACCACAGCACCATCAGCACTGCAAGAAGAAAATAGAAGGAAAAGAAAACAGCCAGAAAAGGTAAGTTCTGCTCCTCCGTGCCTGAGACACTGCAGAGTTAAGAAAGCTTCACTTGAAAAGAGAAAAAGTATTTAATCAAGCCTTGGCTTAATAGTGGGGGTATCTGATCATTTGTATGTCATGTGCAGAAGCTCTCTGACTCTACTGACAGAATTCCCAGCTGGTCTCACTCACGGCATTGCAGACTGTGTGCCCTTCGTGGCCTCGCAGCCCTCTGGTGTGGGATCACAGCATCTCTCCGCCAGGTCCCAGCGGCAGTTTCACTGCACTCTTAGTTGCTTCCCTCTGGATACAGGATCGCTATTTTCCCTGCCAGCAGCAGCTTTCTCACTGCTGGTCTTTTTGCTCATGTAATTGGTATTTAGTATTTTCAGCGGGATTTACAAATAGTGGCAAACTTGTGGCTCCCCAAAGAGGTGTAGTACATATTAGCTACTCCCTCAAGGCAAACAGGGCTGCAAAAGTTTGGGATGATCAAACTGTGGGTTTGGTAGGAGCAGTTAGGAGGTTTACTGAAGTGTTGCATCTAAATCTCTGTCTTTTGAACATAAATGCTATGTCAGAGTGTACAGTGCCAGGGACTTACCTTAACAGTAAGACAATAGGCTTCTTGTCTGCCTATGGATGAGTGAATTTTGCTCCAGCTGCCCCAATATTTGGGCAGAGGGGGATGCAGATGCTTCCACAGATTGCTGGTGTTAGCTGAGATGCTTAGAACAGGTATCCCATCTGCTCACCCACTGCTATTTGAGAGCAGGATGTGCCTCCCACAGGTGCAACCCACCATCTTGATGCCTCTGAGGGTGTCTTTGCTACTCTGGGGTGTCAAGTGGCACTGCACCCTTCTGCTTGAGCACCTGAGCCTCGCTGGAGGATCCACATAGCAGTGCCAGGGATTAGGGCTTCCTCCCCTTTTCTGGAAGAGCTGCAGCACTTCCCAGAATGGTGGCATGTGGCCCAGAGTGGGTGAGTGCCAGTGAAACACACCAGTGCTTCTCAGCAAAAATTAGCAGAGTATCCCAGCACCAGGAAGGGTGGGCAGGGCCCAGGGCTGGATCCTTGTCCTGGATATGCCCCAGTGCCCAGGGCCATACTCACCAAAGGCTTCAGAAGACAGCAGCTGTCTAACCAGACACAGGTGTGACGTGGCAGCTGAAGGCAGAATGTGGTGGCAGGTTTCTAATCATAAAGAAACAGAACAGGAGAAAAGCAGGTCCACAGACTTTGTTGTTGCAGAGCCCTTTGTGATTCAGCCACACAGTAAAGCTTTACCTCTTCTCCTGGGCTCTTCCAAGCACCTTGTTTGGTTGCTTCTGAGCCAGTTCCACTTGGAAATTGTCCCTAGCTGGCGGTCAGCTGGTGGCACTGTGTGCTGCTGGCAGCTATTGCTGCCTCTGATTACACTGCTAAGAAACAGTTGTAAGCAACATCCTACGCATCCTCTTGCGTGTGCTGGACTGTAATGATCTGTAACAGCAAGGTCAGTGTATGTGACCCAACCGACTAATCTGCCAATAGCCCTTAATGACCTCCTTATAAATGTGCCACAATATAATGCTTTTAAGGTATCCAGCTTGGGAGTGCTTTCTGTGCTTTCTGTGTTCGTACTGCCCTCTATCTCAGCTCTATCCCTCTATCTCAAGGATTTTGTATCTTATATTTAACCCTCTCAGTCATCAATTCCCTCAAGCTTTCAACTTACTGCAGCATCCCCAGTCACTGCTGGGTGGCTTTGAATGCTGCCTGCACCAAGCCCAGCACCCCTGAAGGGAGGTAATCAAAGGAAAGGGTGTCATCAAATTGAAGACATGTTGAGCACTCAGCAGGGAAGCTTGTGGGTTAAAGCAAGTGGTGTGCTTAATGCCTGCCCTGGGATTAAGACAAGCTTTTCTGACCAGGAAAAGTGGCTATGATCAGGCCAAGGGATCTAGCACTGGAAAACAGAAACATGGGTGGAGGAAGCCAGCTCTCCCCTGTTGCAATCCAGAACACATGACTGTGTTTCTTGACCTGAGAGGATGGGGATTAGTGCAGCGGGGTGTGAGGCAGAGGATCGGGTTTGCTACCCTGCTCCTTGGCACAGCTATTCCCACTCGCTGGCTCTGCCTCAGTGGGTGCTCCCATGAGCAATTACAGAGTGCACCAGCACCTCTACAGCCCTCTCAACCCCAGCTCCCAAGTGGCAGCAGTTTCTGCCTTCAACAGGGGCAACCTGCTGCCAGTCATGTCATGTCTTGGCTCTTGTAGATGCAGCATCTTTCACCTGCCTCTGCATTTCACTCTCCTCTGGGCTGGGGAAATCATCATACACTCTGTTAGTAGGTCTCCAGTCTTCCCTAAGGCAATCCCTGGACATCCCATAAAAATGGCCAGTGCAATGCAGTGAGTGTTCTCTGTCTGTCCAAGTAACTTACCTTGTGAAGTTTCTATGTATTTTTTACCAAACCCACTATGGGATGGGACATGTCCCAGTAGCTGCTTGAAACAAACTCATGTTTGAGCATATCTGAATGTTTGCACTCCAGCACAGGAAACTGCTTTGCTGGCTTATAGCTCGAATGACTCTGTGACTGCCCAGAGGTTTCACAGTCAAATCCCAGCCGTGCTTGACAGTGAAGGTGGACCCCAGCAGGAGCTGAGATGGCCACTGCACCAGAAGAGGCAGAAAATACCATCGGTCTGGAGGAAATCCACATGGAGAGACAAGAACCCTCAAAAGGTGGGTTGGTGTTGGCAGGACTAGAAATTTGAGTCCTCATTTAGCTGGGGTAGAGAGAGGGTCCCCAGCCCTGACACTCCAGCTACCTAAAACCAGTGAACATGGAAACACAAGTGTCAGCTTTGTACTGCTCTTCTCCCATCCCAGCTATCAGGCTGGTGGCTGCTACCTGTGGTGGTGGGCACAGCTGGCTTGGCTTTTCTAAGGCCTCTGCTTTGTGTAAACATTTTATTATGTTGGTAATTCAAGGATTCTTTTATTTTTAGCAAATAAGTAAATGCATTCTACTTCAAAAGGATTTTAAAGTGAAAAAAAGAATTGTAGAAAACCATTAAAAAGAAAGGTCTGCATTTGCAAAAAATAGTTTTCTCATGAAATTCTTCAGTAAGTTCTGTTCCATTTCAGAGGTAATGTTGATAGGTTTGAGATGACTTAGTTTGGAGATAAATGACCTGACAGAAAAATTTACACAGCTCTGACTTCACCTAAATAAGAGCTTAAAAGCATACATACACTGAAAGCTTTCTGCCAGGTCTGTTTATAAAGGCACCCTAGCCCTGATCTTGGGTTGCTTTTGTTTGATCTTGAAACAGGATGGAAAAGTCAGGAATAAAGGCTTAGGAGACAAAACTGAGCCTAGAGCTCCCGGCTGTGGTTTTCTTGCAGGGTTTTGGGGCTGGGGCAGCCCTTGGCTCACACTGCCCATGCGGGGAGTGGGCCCATACCCCAGGAGTGCAGCGGGACTGAGCCTCATGGCAGTTTGCGCAAGGAAAGGGAGTACACCAGTAGGCGGACTCCAAGCCATGGGTTTCCAAAGCATCTGGGGTAATTCAGTACAAGGCTGTCCTTCCTCCATGCCCATGTCCTCTTCCTTGCTGGCTGCTATTTCAGTAACCCCCTGACATGCCCAGCCACCAGCATGCCTGGGACTGGTCAGTGGACACACAACTGGTAGATGTTTCCAGCCTTTTTCCTGGTGTGGTCCCACAGTGGCATGGAGAACACTGATATTTCATACAATTTGACTGCTGACATGGGGTTGTTTTTTTGGGTTTTTTTGTCTCTTTCTTTCCCTTTGGTGTTCAGGACAGAAGACATATACAGTGGAAGAAGCTGTGGAAACCATTGGGTTCGGCAGGTTCCACATTGTGCTTTTCCTGATCATGGGCAGCACTGGGGTAGGTATCTGCAGCCATCTGCACTGGCCCAAAAAACACTTTCCTCATTTTCCATATTATGTGTGGTACCAACCATAAGCACCATATTGCAGCCCATTTTTTTCACATGTACCTTCTCAAGCAGGATTTCTGCTGTTGTCATCTTTGCCCAAAATAGATCTTGGCCACAAGTGACATTGTTATTTCAGGGCAAAGCTGAGCAGGATGGCTTAGAGCATCCTGGCCTGGCCCCTGTCCCGGAGCACTGTCCCACTGGGCAGCACTGAAGAGCTGTGTCTTCAGTAGCACCTGAGGGTTAGGTTCAGCCTCCCAACAGCATTTTTCAAGCCTTTCCCAGGGCACCCAAACCCTGTAAAATCTGGCTGTTGTCCTCTCACCCTTGGCTACCCAAAAACCTTCCCAACTGTCAGGATCTTGCCAATTAGGTCTGATTTGTGAACCGAGGCAAAAGCTTGAGGCCAGGCTGGGGTAAAGATGCAATGGGGCCATATCCATGAGAATCACTGCAGCTGAGATGTAAAAGCCTCTAGCTATGTGTAAATGATAGTCTCATTTCTTAACTGAAGCCAGCTGCTGGGGCAAACAGCCAATAGAGCAATGAAGTTTTTAATAAAAAACAGTTTTAAGAGGTCATCTTTGTGCTAGGTGCCTGAAGTCACAGCTAAGTACCTAACCAAGCAGCTTGGTTTCCAGAGATAGTTGGACATCTTCCACTAGCACATCCTTCTGGAAAGGATGAGTCTTTCCAGTCTTCCTAGTTACACAGTGTACCTAGATATCTGCTTTCTAGGTACACCTTTCTCCACTCTCCTTCCTGTTTTCAAGTGCTTATGCCTTCCAGATCAGGCACAGGATTCCAACCATTATGGAGACATCTTGGCTTTACAGGGCTGTTTTGATGTGATGGGACTGCCATAGCTGCAGTCTTGGTAGGATTGAGGGACTTTCCCCTGTGGGCTTCTCTTCTTGCTAACCTGCACACTTGTTCCTAAAGGTGGCTGAAGCCATGGAGATCATGCTAATAGCTGTTGTGTCCCCTCTCATCCGATGTGAGTGGCAGCTTCAAGACTGGCAGGTGGCTTTAGTGACAACGGTGAGTGACTTGTGTTCCCCCCATGCAGGTCATCCACCATGTGGTCATTGTCAGGGCACTGCCACAGGCTTTGTAAAGTACATTTATAAAGGGACCAAATAAATTCCTAGGGTCTTCTCTCAGGGACAAGAACTGTAGGAAAACAGAAAGTGAGCTGTTGTGAGCACGCATCCATGCCCAGAACTGTAATACCAAAACAAGCCCCCACTTCCATATTCTTATTTTGAAGTCCTTGCCATCCAACCCCCATTTTTGAGGGCTGAAGCAGTGAGTGCCTACTTGGAGGAAGCCAACCCCTGATGAAAGCCACCTTGCTCATGGTTCTGGCACTGCAGTTCATCTTGCTGCTTGGAGAGCATTCATCTCACCCACAGTTCAAAGAGCAGAGCTGCCTCATGCTGCTTGGGAGTGGGCCCTCCACAGCTGTGTTTCAATTCCCTTTAGATGGTGTTTTTTGGCTACATGGTCTTCAGCATAGTGCTCGGGCTGCTGGCCGACAGGTATGGCCGCTGGAAGGTGAGTGGGTGCCAAGGGGTGCATGTCCTTTCCTGAGCCCCACAGGAGCCATGCACCCCACTGAGCCCATGGTCTGATGACCCTTATTTTTCCCTTTTTTCAGATTCTGCTGCTCTCATTCCTCTGGGCAGCCTATTTCTCCCTGCTGACCTCCTTTGCCCCATCCTACATCTGGTTCGTGTTCTTGCGGGCCATGGTAGGAGGTGGCGTGTCGGGCCACGCACAAGGGTAAGGTTGTGCTTCACACCTTGTGGCACAGGCAGAAGCAAGCCAGCCTCCATGGGGAGGTTAGCAGGGGCACCCATGGGCCCAGAAGGGCTGAGTTCCTGGGTTTGCAGCAAGAAAGGCTCTTCAGCTCATTTTGGCTGCCCTTGTCAGTGCGCCTGCTTTCCCCTGTGCTGAGCCTGATAAGCCGTGGCTGTGCTGCGACCTGGAGGAGATGGCTGGGAAGGGGCCTCCATGGGGGCTGGAAGAGGAAAGGGGAGCAAATTCCCACATCGCCTTAAAACAAAATGCTGTTCTGTAACTTCAGTGAAGCCCAGTTGATTGACCTAAACTGCAGTTCCCAAGGACTCACCGAACCCTGGAATAGAGGAGGCAGCTGGTTTACATTAAGCCAGTGACAGAGGGATTATTAAACACATATAAAACCAATTAGACAGGTAACAGATGAGCAAACGCTGCTTCCTCGTTAAGTTGTCACAGCAATTCTGCTTAAGTAGCAAATTTTTCTTGAACTGATGGAAAACGTTCCCATTTCAATGAAACTTTTTGCCCTGCTGGGGTGGAAAGGGGGACATGGAGGGGGAGAGCAGAAATTCACAGTATGAGCAACCACTGTCCTAGGAGCCTGGGAAAAGAAATTGTTTCTTTCAGCTCTCTCAGGGAGAGCATCTTCCATGGCTCCATGGAGCCTGGTTGCTGCCCAGGCAGAAAAACCCAAACCAGTTGTGTTGACCCAAAAGCCCTTTGCCAAGGGAAGGGCAAGAGGGAGATAGGTGCTGGTGGGAGGAAAAGGCACCCTGCGCCTGCATCCCACATCTGCTGAGCTCCCAGCACTGCCTCCTTCACAGGAGGGCCCCCATAGGCTGCTAATGAGCCTATTGAGGACGGAGGGAAATTGCACGAATTGCACATTTTATAAAACACTTTGACAGCTGAGATACAAGGAGCCAACATGGGTCTTTCCCCACCTCTCTCTCTTTTCAGCCAAGGAAGCACAATTCCCACCTGTGAACTTGAGAGCTGCCAGCGAGAGGTCCTCCCCCAGGGGCTATCCAGCCACTTGATAAAAAGTGGAATAGACTGTTTTCTTTAATGAAAAAGAACAATTCACCAAAAATTGTCCTTGCCTACAAACATACTCGATGCCTGTGCTGACACTTCAGTCACCCCACAGGACCTTCCCATAGGTTTCCTGATACACAGACTGCAGTGTTACCTGCCTGTATCCTACAGCCATGGCTGTGGGAAAGGATTCATGCTGTGCATCTCCCTTGCATGTCATTTGGTGCCCGAGTGGAAGGCATATTGAACCGGGATCCCCCATCTCTGGGTGCTGCTCAGTGGTGGAAGAGGGATGGTGGTCTGTCTACAGGCAGCAACATCCAGCACTGACTGAGCTGAACTGCTACTTGATTAGTATAGAAATTCGCACTGTTTATGTATTTCTGTATTTTTTCCCCCTTTTTTACTAGGCTTATCATAAAAACGGAATTTTTGCCCACCAAATACAGAGGATACATGTTGCCCTTATCTCAGGTAAGAGTGAGCACATTACTGTTTTTTCTAGCCCCAAGTCCCAGACGATTTGTCCTGCTGCTGTTTGGGAGCCAGATCTCCAGAACATCAGCCTTTCTCCCAGACTATTCACACACACATGTCTGGGTCTGAGTCCCAGAGTGTGGCAGCTGCATTACTAAAGGCAGCTGCCTGCAGAAGAGAGGCACTAACATCAAATAACTGGATGCTCCAACCACTGCATGTAGACTTTGAGTAATGGCTGGCACCATGGCTTTAACAGGGCCAGTGCTGATGGGCTGGTAGGCACTAGGGCTAGTGGCACTGCCAGCCTCCTCCAGGCCTGGGCTCACCCCCTCCTCTCTTTGGACCCCCATTGATAACAAGTGGTTAATAAGGTGATTCCCAGATGAGGTCCTAATCTGTGCCTCTCCCTGTCCCTGCACATTGGACATTGTGCAGGACAGGGGTGACACAGATTCCCAAATTTGGCCCCATACGTGCTGGGAGAGCTGTGCCCGCTTGCTGGGCAAAGACCACAGCAAGCATGACTTGGGTGGTTGCTTACGCCAGATTTCTGCAATGGGCACTTGCTGCATGTGCAAATGATCTGTGGAGGCCTCATCAAGCACATGAATCCATCTGACTGTTGAACCAGAAGTGTTTGCATACGGTCTTGGTGGAAGCAAATTTGCTTTTCATTACTGCTTGTTTGATGCCAGGGCTTGGTTACCAAAGTGTCATCAGAAACACAAGGTTTTATAAAAAGGAACAATGTTATTTATCCCCAGAAATTTGTTATTTCTGCACACAGATTACTCATGAACTTGTTGTGGCTCTTACGTGTTTGTTTGTGCTTTGTGTTGGCTGAGCTCCGTTGGGTGGTCCCCTGGAAAGGGATGCGTCTCCTGAATGGCAACAAGTGAACTTAGGGGAGGAATGTACATGCAGATCAGGGGCCAGATTCTCCATTGGTATAACTTCGCATTGAGTCTACTGGAGACCCACCAACTTCCAGCAGTGGAAATCTGGCCCACTTTTGCCTTTGGTGCTTGTAAATCTGCTGCATCCCTGCAGAGATTTAGACAAGAGGAAAATTCATGGGTATGAGCATTAGCAGAGCAGTAACTGGAAGGACAAAAGAAATGGCTTTAACTACAACATAACAGCAAGTGATTTGTTTTCATCTGGAGCTGATTAAGACTATCTTCAGCTGTCCCTCCCCAAATCTTTGTCTTCCATTCCATCTTTCTTTCAACCCAAACTGAGCTTCTCATGGATGCCATAGGATGGGTCAGTTTGAACTGCAGTGCTCCCCAGCACATATCCCCACCTATCCATGAAACCAGAACAAAAGGGAAGAAAACAAACAAATTATTGCCATGTGTATATGTTTTAACCTCTTCCCTTCCCTTGGAAAGGTGTTTTGGTTGGCAGGATCCATGTTAATCATTGGCCTGGCATCGGTGGTGAACCCAACCATCGGCTGGCGGTGGCTGATCAGAATCGCCTCCATCCCCGGCATACTTCTCATCCTGGTGTTCAAGGTAGGAAGAGCTTCCCTCCCCACTCCCTGCCACCAATCTGGCATCTCCCCAGGCACCAAGAGGCATCACCCTCCACCTCCCCCCAAACCTGGGGATGTCATAGAATCATACAATAGTTTGGGTTGGAAGGCACCTTCAAAAGTCATCTGGTCCAACCCCCCTGCAATGAGCAGGGCCATCTTCAACTAGATCAGGTTGCCCAGAACCACATCCAACCTGGCCTTGAATGTCTCCGGGGATGGCGCATCCACCACCTCTCTGGGAAACCTGTGCCAGTATTTTACCACTCTCCTTGTGTCCTCCTTTCACCACTGCAGCCCTCTCACCTGGGGGGCATGGGAAGGTCCTGATGACCTGGAGGGCTGCAGGTCAGATGCTGAGGAGATGTCACCCTGTGGGAGATGGCTTGGCTTTGCTCTGGGTTGCAAAGCCTCTGGCTTTGCTGCCCTGCTGTAGCCCTCCAGCACTCTGGACTCCAGTATCTGTGGTGCCAGCAGTACTCAGGCTACCATGGTGATGGGCCAGACACTGAGAGGAAGACAGGCTAGGCAGGGTATGCAAAAAATGGCAATACCTTCAGTCTAGTGCTGGCCACAGCGCACCCCCTTCGGGCTTTACATGTGTTAGGGCTGACGAATGAAGCCTCAGTGAAGTGTTCACAGAGCAAATGGGTGTCAGGGTCAACTGCAGCTTCCCCAGGTTTACTCATGCTTCAGGAATATCAGCCTCAGATATGGGGACAGCCTTATTTGAGGGGAGTGGTGTGAAAAATCCCTACTTACATGCCTGTAGAAGAGAAGGAATCCGTAACTCCTATTTTGGTGACACAGATGTAATCGTTTATAATATAATAGAACCATCATTTAATAAAAAGGTATCTTATTTTGGAAAGAGCACCAGGTGTGGGTGACCATTGCAAATGCTCGTTATGAGTGAGCTGGTTCCTAAATTTCATCCAATTCTTCCTTTTTTTTTAATGACCTTGCTGAGTCTTCCAAGACTTTCGCTCTAGTGACACGTGCCTCATCGTGCTTTAAAATTACAGTTAATAAGTGCTGTGTTTATTAGGTCTGTGTCTTTGGCTTCCACCTCTCACGAGTGCCTGCCACAGACAGCTCAGTAGCAGACCCCTGGGACATGGACCAAGAAATGGGTTTGCTGGGCAGGGTGAGCTGCCCAACATGAGGTGTGGGGAGCTGGGACACACAGGGATGCTCCAGGGCACAGCTGGGGAGGAGGACAGGCAAAAGGCTGCTCCAGCTCAGGTGGTGCCCTGTGCTAACCTGGCCAGGCTCCTGGGCATGACAGGAAGCTGTGAGGAGGCTTGTGTGGACAGAGAGGTGCAGAAAGACTTTCTGGTGCTGCTCTGCTTTCAGTTCATCCCAGAGTCGGCGCGGTACAACATATCCACGGGGAATGTGGCGGCTGCTCTGGCCACGCTGCAGAGGATAGCCAAGATGAACGGGGCGGTGATGCCTGAGGGGGTGCTGAGGGAGCCTGCCAAGGTAAGCTCGGCCCCTCTGTCCCGGGCAGGGCTGCTGGGATCTGAGGATTGTGGAGGGAGTGAGATGGCCGAGCACGTCTCACTGCTTCTCTCCCCCTCCTCGCCTGGTTTCATTCCAAACAGCTATTGAATATGATGAGGAAGATGTCATTTTTCTTTTGGAAAGAGGGTAATCTTGGGCCTCAAACTGGAATTGAGTTTTCTGGGGTTTTTGCATTCTTTGTGTTCACTCAGAAAAATACTGTGCTGAGAAAAGATCTGCTTCCTTTGCCACACAGAGGGCTCTTGGCACAGAGTGTTCTCCCTTGCTGCCCATCCATCCCCCAGGGGTGTCCCTGTGCCATGAGACTTGGGACCTGCCCCTTGGGGTCCCTCTCAGGGCTATGGCTGGTCAGGGTCCCAGCCATGAAGTCAATCCACGGCTCTCAGAGGCTTTTCCCAGCCCCTGGCTGGGCTTGTCCACTGGGTCCCAGCATGCAGGTCCCTGAATGTGGAGCCACGGACCAGCAGAAGAGGGTCAAAGCAGGAAAGGCCATTGCACAGCTACCACTGTTTCCACCTGTGAGCATCTGAGCACTCAGGAGTTGATTACTACTGGACCAGGATGCCCAAAACTGTGTGTGGATGCTGCAGAGAGGACAGGAGAGGAGCTGGGAGTCAGCATTACCCCCACAAGGCTGCTCTCCCTTACCCTCAGTCTGGGCCCTGCTGACTGCAGCGTGTGCAGACTTATTCAGGTGTCTTCTTTGACCCCCAAGAGAGGAAGATTGGACAAACCTATTGTCCAGGGCCTCAAAATTGTTATCCAGCTCTTTTTAAGTCCCTTTTCTGGACCTCTTTGCTGCTTATTCAATCCCACAGGCACCAAGCATTGTCCTTAACAATTCATGCAAGATGGTGCTATTGTATTGGAATTAATTAGGATTAAAGCTTCCCTGTAGTTTAATTGAATTTATGTAATGGACCCGCATTGGCTGTGGGAAGGGTTTTTGTTAGCTGTGCACCCTCTTGGCCTTAACCAGCGATGAGGAAAATAAAGGCAACCCAACCCATCCCTGGGAACTCTTGTCCCCTCGGCACTGGGATGCTGGGGCAGCTGCCAGCTCCTGGGGAGCAGCAGGGCAGGCAGGGCCCCGCAGTGCCTGCTTGTGTCTCTGCTCACTGGCGTTTCGGGCCTCCCAGCAAGATATACGTGGCCACAGACTTGCTCCACATGCAGAGCAGTGGATGCTGGGACCCTCTCCCCTGCACATGGGGCAGCGGGAGCTCGCAGCAGCCCCAGCAGCAACCAGGGCACCCCCCCGGCACCAGGATGGTTATAGTGGGGCCAGGCTGCTGAGAGCTGGGGGGACTGGGAGTGCTCAGGGTGTTCTCTTCTCCTCCCCTCCGTCCTT